AAGTTCACAGTAGAATGCTTGTTAACTTTATTTATATACATTGCACTAGCATCATATTCAGTCAGCCATCCTGAAAAATTTTAAGATCTTGCTTACTCTAATATTATAAGTTCAACAAAAAAAATCTATGTGGATTAGTTTAGTAAAAGGTACTTCATTAACAAGTTACAATTGCACAGTTTTCTAAAATACCTCTTATCGCTTCTGTTTACAGTGTTTATAATTAAAATTTGTTTTTAAAATATAGTAGAAAATTTTGCCTAGTCTAAAGTCTCAACTCTGGCCACGTTGAGATTTTGACTAAGCAAAAGGAAATGTTTAACATCAAAGCCTTCTCAGTCTATTTCAACTGTGGCCAGATTGAAATTTGACTGACAAGGAAAGAAAATTATAAAATCCAGATATTTCTGAGCTAAAAATAAAAGCAAGTCATTTTGACTAGCTGATTTAGCCTTGCAAAGCTAAAACCTTTTCCTTTCGGATAGACATGAAGAATCTTATCTGCAGAAGATTCTTCTAAGTTATCATTTAAAGGAAAATTCCTCAATAGTATTAAACACTAAAATTGGATTGCAGCATATCAGCAATTATAATTCTCACCACATCACCACATCAAGGTCATTCAGAAATGCAGGTTTTGTTCCTGTTACAATTTCTAAAAAAAAAGGAAAGGAGAGAAAGGAGAGATAGAAATATGTGTGTTCTTATTTAAACTACTTGCTTAAGTCTTCTCACAGTGAACCACCAGTGCTGTGTCCTTGTCTTGGACAGGTACCCCCCCCCCCTCCCACCCCCCCATGCCGATGGCTGACCTATGCAACTACTGTAACAACTGTAACAGGGCCTAGAAAGATGTTAGAAACCCTTGAATTTAACTCATCAAAGTGTAATCTCTGTTAGCAGTATGCAGGAAGTGAGGGGTTTGGGTTTTTTTTGATGCCTCAATTTCCAGACTCATTGAACTTCAGTTTAAAAAACAAAACAAACCTGAAGAACACACACACACACAGGAGAGAAACTTATCAAAACCTCCCCCACAACTCGACTGCAAAACTGAGAGGGGCTTCAGCTGCTTCCTTTTCAAGTCTGTCTGTTATGTTTGGTATATTCTCACCAGCTTCCTGAAGTGGAACTGAGACTTCTGTGAGTCTGTCTGATGTGAAGGCTTGAAGGATAAGAATAAGTAAAGGTTATGAATGAAAACTAACAAACAATGTAGATAAATGTCTTGTGTGTATTTTTCTTCTACTCCATGAGAAAATTTTTTCTTCTGGGTCTCAGCTGAAAAAAGCTCAGTTAGAGTCAAGTCCAAAGACAGGGTAATGTAATTATCCAGTTGATGAGGCTCTGGATTTTAGCTATGTGGTAAAAGATGCATTTAAAGATGTTAAAAATGTGGTGGGGTTAAAGCCCCCTAGATTTGTTTATAGTGTTCTTGCCTTTAAGAATGCAGTAGCTGAACTTGTCCATATTTGGTCAGAGGACTGTGTGTTCCGTGGGGAGCCTTGAACATGCACTTTTCAGTCGAAGGAATTAATACTAGAGAGAAATACAAGAAATTTGTAAACACAAACTTGGTCTGAGAAGGTAAGCAATAACAGCAACAAAAGAGCTTATATGTGTGCTCTGTCAGATATATCAGTTTGGGGTCTGGAGGCAGCAGAATTTAGAGAAGGTGCATGAGAGATCCTTTGAAGGCATCTGCATGTCTATGACTGTTATGTATCTTGTTAGCACAGTAAAAGACTTTCTCCCGAACTGGGAAACAGCAGGTGGAGTTCTGTCATTTTTTGATTGCCTTTACAGAAACAGTGACTTGGTAAACAGAATTGGTAAAAATACTTACAGAGAGATTGGAAAGGGAAGGGAAAAATTGGAACAGTATTTTTCTTCCTCAGGCAATGTGGACTTCTGACTTCTATACCATATGAAGAGAAGTTACTTCATACTTTATTCTGGTATGCATATGTAATCATGCAGTTGAGGGGAAAGATCAGTGAAATAGAAGTGAAATGTGGTTTACAGATAACTTTGGATCACATCTTTTTTTTTTAACCAGTCAACAAGGTAATAAAACAACTTTTGGAGAGTATTAATTTAAAAGAAAATTGGTTTGTAGATGTGAACTAGTTGTTGAAACTCAGGAAGATAGAAAGTTCTCTGTGCCAAATGGATTTTAAATAGTAGTCTGTCCCTCCTCTTTCTCTTTTTGAAGTAAAAAACTGTTACTCCTTGGGTAAAGGATTTTCCCTTAATGCCCAGGGTGCATTACTAGATGATGTTTAGGTGCTAGAAATATCTGTCATGTAACATATGCTGTTTCCTAATTTTAAAAGTGATACTTTTGGGCAGACTGAATGTGAGGTGGGAATTGGTCTCTTTCTCCAGGCAGCAGCTGACAGAACAAGAGGTCACAGTCTTAAGCTGCGTCAAGGGAAATATAGATTAGATATTAGGAAAAAGTTTTTCACGGAAAGAGTGATAAAGTACTGGAATGATCTGCCCGAGGAGGTGGTGGAGTCACCATCCCTGGATGTGTTTAAAAAACACATGTGGATGTGGCACTTGGTACCATGGTTTAGTTGAGGTGTCAGGAAACAGGTTGGACTCGATGATCTTGACGGTCTCTTCCAACCTTGTGATTCTTGTGACAGCATCTGCTTACGTAACAAAGGCAACTTCATCTCCTTTTAATATTTTTCTTTATGATGTACAGCAGTGAACTAGAAGTACTTGAAATCCAAATATTTTTCTATATATTTGTGTTCATGGCCTGTATGTGTCAATTTATAATGTTTCTGTAGTTTATTCCCTAGGAAAAAAAATTGGGAAGCAAATGATGGGAATGCAAAGTAGTTTTTCCCTGTGTTAACATAGGTGTTTGTTGTATTTATGTAACTGAATAATTTTTGCAGAACTTTTATAACCTTACTTTTCTATTTACTTTTCCAGAATAGGCATTGTATATTGACTCTTGATTGTTTTGTTTCAATGAGGTTTTCTTAATTGTCAGAGTATTTGTGGCCAGTAAGTGTGGTTATGTTCTGAGCATCTAAATAGCTGTTTGTACCACCTACTTTAACCTAGTGCCCCTGGGCTAAATTGCTTCTTTCAAGGTTTCTCTCCCTAAATTCTGCTCTAATGGGGATGTTCTGAAGAGCTGTACAAGTTTGTGTGTCAGAAAGGTGTTCTGGGAGTAAATGGATCTTTTCCTCTTCATTTGTTAGCTGGTCAAATACTCATGAACTTTACCGGAAGGGTTTGTTCCCTCTTCTGTCTGAAAGGAGAAGACATAATTGGTTATAGTTTCTTCTTTCTCTGCTGGCTGCCACTGGCAGTTGTTAGAGATGGCGTTTGAGTATACACGTTGAAATGTGTTGTGTACAGCATATCTTTACAGCATCCTTGAGCTGAGGCACTCAAAATCTATTAGATGTTCCTATATCATACTGCAGGTACTGTGTCCAGATTCTGTGGTTTTACACTAATGAGCCACAAAGGTATGTGAGAGATCTTGTTCTGCACAGCAGTGTTGAGATCTAGTAAGTTTGCCACCACATTTGTAGTAGTAGTGCACCCTTGTGCTTCCAAACTGCACATGTATACAAACATAGCAGACATAATTTCCTTGACTATAATTAAGAGATCAGGGACTGTAAACCATGATTCTTAGAGTGCAGCCACCAAAAATTTGATTTGTCAAGAATTCCTAGCTTTTTGTGCTGGTTGACCACTCAGCCTCTTAAATGCTTTTTCTTTATTTATTCTATAGTTAGTGAAATATGTGTCTTCTCTGTGTGATGCCTCCATTTCAGTTGTATTCTGTTAGGGGGGACATTCTGCCATCTATCCTGTTGACCTCACTCTGAAAGAGGCAGTTTTCCCAAATACTCATTTTCTATGACAGATTGTTTTTCCTTTCAATAAGGAAACGTTCAACTGGACTGATTCTCTGCATGTGGTTAATATGTTTCGTCATACTACCTTCCTGATGCAATTATTGAAGATAGTTAAGGATTCTGCCAAGGTTCACGTTATGCTTGTAGTTGTAGACATGTAGCATAGCCTGCACTTGATGACCTTGTTCTTTGATTTGATAGCAAACTTGAACTCTTTCTTTATAAAAGGGGGCTTTCTTGATAACCTGAGTTTTTGCAGGAAAGCAAAATCCAGACATTGTTTTCAAATAGTTTTCTTGCTTAGAGTTCTCTTAGCTTCTACCCAAGATTTTAATGAAATTTGCAACATACATTGCTGTGAAACCAGTAGGTGGTTACTTGTCAGTATCCTTCCCTGGTCCTTCTACTGGGCATCTTTGGCTGTCATGTGAGAATAGTTCCATCATGAGTGGTCTGAAAACAAGGTCACCAAAGTTCAGGTTTTGATCCAGTACAAATTCTCCACAGTGTCTTTTCTTTTGTTTCTTTCTTGAAGTTCTAGTAACTTTAACAATAAGAAATGTATGTCACACTTCTTAGCTCCATGTGAGAATACTGGAAAAGGCAGAAATCAACCCCCAAACTTTCAGGGCTAATTACTTAAGGCACATATGTTAAGATGAAAATTCACCCTGGAGAATTCCATTTAGTGATGAACAGCTCTTGTTGTGGTAAATAATTTGAAATTTGGAGCTTTATTTTAGCGCATTTTTAGTGTCAGTATGCAGGTCTCAGAACTGAATGTAAACAGCTGCTAGAGGATTGTTATATGAAAAATGTTTCCAATTAAACACAAAAATAAAAGTATGACACCATTACATCTGTCAAATTGGAAATTACTTTCATTTTGGGTGAAAGAAAAAGGTCGTTTTTTTTCTTATGATGAAGTCAGAGTTCAAGATCTTGTGATTCTACACATGATGTACAATTCTACACAAAAATTCAGAGTTTTTGTAAGATATAGTAAATATTTTAAAGTAGGTATGGTGGACGATGGTTGTAAGAGATTTAAACCCTTGATATATGTTACATCCTGTTTAACAGTATTTTGTGTTTATTTAGGTTCCTCTAAAGAAGGAGGAGCTGGAGCTGTGGATGAAGATGATTTTATTAGGGCATTTACAGATGTTCCTACTGTACAGGTAAGATTCTGTGTATATTCATGTTTGTCTTCAGAAATATGTTATTTGCAATAACGTGTTAACCTGCTTTTTAAATTTACGTAATTTTACAATATTCTAAGCAAGCATCATTACTTTTCCCTTTTTCTGACCTTAGAGTCTCCACGGAAAGCTCTTTTTATTTTCCCAGTAGTTACCCAAAAAAGTGCCACCTTTTCTTTACTGTCCTACTAATTATTACCACATTGTATTTTGGTCTAAAATGCCTTACTGTTTTTCTCAAACTTTTTCAGGGAGCTAGTGAAAAGAATTGTATGTTTTAATAACAAAAAGATTAACATAAGGTTTGGAAAGTTTAGGGCTGCAATTTCAAGGCATAATCAAGTAATAATAATATAGGCAAATAATTTAAACAGCAATAATTTTGTTTTCAAATTTGCTGAATTGTAATGTGCGTCTGGTATACATGTCCTTATTCTAGCAATACTTGAAAAAATTAAATCAAGTGCCTTATTTTCATACTAATGAACTTGTTTGATTCTGAGTTCTTAATTAAAAGATCAGATCTTAATTTCTGTTCTTTTAGTGTGGGAATTGCATGTATTTGATATTTTCACATAGTTGAGTCATATAATATGTGTGTAGCTTACTATTTTGAATAAATTTTCGTTTAGCAGCTGAGGTGTGGAACACAACCAAAAACTTAGTAAGCCATGGTTCCCAAATGGCAGAAGGGTTTTGTAAGACTCCCTTTTCTTGATATGTACTTTTCTATTTTTATTTCCCAAGCGTAGTTATTTGTTAGATCTGCTTTTGCAGGCAGCAATACTGTCTGCTTTCTTGAGAGTGCACTCAAATCTCCATGATCCCTGTCACATCAAGGAAGTCTTTATGTAACACTGTAAAAGCTATATGTCTTTGCCTTTTCAGACTGTGTAAAGAATTCTTTGGAGGACAAAAATACGCAGCTCTTCATATTGTTTATCCCAATTATGTTGAACAGAGCCATACTCCACAGCACAGAGAATGTGATACTTGTAGTTCAGTGCCTTGGTGTTCGCAGTCCCAAGCAGAGTTCTCTAATTACTCAGGCTGGTTGGTAACACTGCAGGAACAAAAGTGGGATGACCACATGATATGGACCAATACATGTTATTTTCTGGCTGGCTGCTAAGAAAGTAGGCCATTCTCTAAACTGCAAGAGATAGAGGAGAAAGGCAGAAAGGCATTTGTGTTTACTAATCTCTCTCAAGCTGAGGTGAGGGGACAGAAGAGAAATGTGTTACTTCAAAATTACGTATTTGTTTCATGGATGAGCATGCAAGAAAAAGCCTTTTTTTTTTTTTTTTTTTTTTTTTTTCTTAGTGTCCTTAGGAATAATGATTTCCTGTCTAAGGAAGTAATTATTCCTACTTCTAACTTCATGCTTCTGGTTGTGGACAATCTCTGATCTTTCAGGAAAAAAAAAAACAAAGCAGATTTTACTTTCTGCAACCATGTTAATTGCTAAGGAAGTGGAAAATTTCTCTGTTAGACTTGTGAAGAAAGAATGTTTATGACCTGTAATTTACCAAATTATCCTGAAAGCAAAAGACAGCATGAGGAGAGGCACCATTCCTGTGTATCTTCTGTTTTCATTACATTCATGGGTTTGAGTAGTGGCTTCAGTGAAATTGTGAAAATAAACTATATGGAAAACCAGATTCAATTCTGGATCAAGATTAAGTGCCTCTGAATTAATCAAATAAATTGAGGTTACTTACAGTTGTGGGTGGGTTTTAAGTCATCCTTAAAAGTCTCCAATGGTAGATCTGATTTTTCAGTAAGCTGTTCACATGACTGCTCATCTTTTTTTAGGAATGTCATATTGTTTTCTTGTACCCAGTTTTTAATCTCCATATTGAAAATACTTTCCATCTGGATAGTTACTGTTCTTACTTGTGTTTGAGCTTTTAATTTTTCTGTCTTTGATGTTGCAGTTGCCTTTAATGAGGTGTGTGTATGTTGCCCTCTGATGGATAGCAAGAGTTTATGAAGAAGATGGGTGATTTTTAGACGTGTCAAAAAGTACTGTAGTGACAGGATTGTGCCTTCATATTCAAGATTACAACCATATTGTTTTTACAACTTAAGAATTCACTGAAACTAAAGAAAATTCTGTGTTCTGGTTATAAGGAGTAACTACCATTAATAGCTAAAATTTGTTTGAAAACAAGTTCAGTTCCTTTTATAAAGTCTGATGTGGGAACTTGGGAGCAAAAAATATATTATGTCATTGGCTGAACACATAATTTCATCTTGGCCTCCTGAAAGTATAATTAATTGAGGACAGGGAGAAAAGAACTTATTAAGTACTGCCATTTATTCCTGTGAAATTAAAGTAGATATGTACAACCTTGAAAATACAGTATTTTTCAGTGGAATTATGGTTTTAATTTCATGACAAAATAAAATCATACCATTTATTAAATTCTACACTGCAATGCCAATTTGAATATTCCTCAGTCCAGTTCTATTTGTTCTAGGTAATTAAGGAAAAAAATTAATTATTTGCATAGAAATGCTAATAGGGTGGACATTAACCCATTGAACAAGTTCTTTCTGTGTTTGTCTGGTACCCAGCATGTTTCAGTCTTGCAGTGCTAACTGTAAAATATGGTCTCTTTTGACACAGAGGCTGACAACAAAAAAGTTCTGTTTTCAGAAAATCCTTAATGAAACAGCTTGCAAAAGATTTTTTTACCTTGACCAGGACTTCAGACTGAGATTTGAGTATGCATTTAACATTCCGCAGTTAGACGCCACCAAAAGGCATCATCCTCTTCCCTTCTTGCTGCATTTCACTTCTTTATGATAAGTTCACAGAGAAATACTGAGGTTCTAGAGAAATTCTTGCATCTCCTTTTGTAGGATGAGCTTTTTGTACATTACAGCTCTGAACTGAGCAGGAGACAGGTCAAAATGGGTTATGGTAGAAGGAGATCCTGAGGAAGTTGAGTCATGTAATGAATTCTGATGGCATGAAGTGTCACTGTAATTAAAGCTGCATCTTGCGTTAATCAGTGATTAGTCCCTCACACTTTCAAAGAAAAATAAGAATATTCTTTCATAATGGAAATTCATTTTGATAAAAAAGCTTACTGAGACACATAAAATTTTTTTTAAGAGTAAGGTACTTACAGAATTAGTATTAGAATAAACTAGGGTTGTGTAACGACTATTAATAGCCTACCAGTATACACAAATATATTAAATGCTGATAGAAAACTTGTGTTCAGTTTTGTGGGCAGTGGAGTAGAAAGTCTGTTACACTTGGACCCAGTTTTTTTCATTAAGTCATTTGTTCATTTTAAGTTAGTTATACATCAGATGTTTAGTGACTTCTAGTGAAGGAAACAGGAATCATGAGGAATAGCTTTCTGAGTTTTACGGATGAAGTCATTTCTCCATAGAACTGCAAAGCTGCTTCCACGGCATATCCTGGAAGAGCTCACACAGCTGCATGTTAATAAAAATCTCAGTTTTGTTGGTAAAGTATATTCAGAAATCATTTTGCACCTTTTAGTGAAGCTGGTCTGGGTGTAGTCATTTATCTGTTTCTGAAAAGATTCCTACCCTGTTTATTCTGGAAACCCAATATGAAGGTATTGTAGAGCTCTGATGTCTTTCACCTCCTCCATATTCCAGCATGAAATATGCATGCCTCCATAACCATGTTCTGTTAAGGTGTTGGAAAAAGAGTAGATGCAAATAGAGTTAAGGTTCCATATCTTCTGTAAGTTAAATTAGTTTGGTATGCTCAGGAAACTGGAAAACTGCACTGTATTTGAAATAACCCTTACAGTAACTTGAAGATGCCTGGAAAATTAAGATATTTTAAAGAAAATAATCATTCAGCTTAACTGCAAAACAGAAGAAAGACATTGCATTGTTTTAACAGTAAGATCAAAGATGCTTATATACATGCTAGAACAGTGTGTTCAAGAGACAGAGTTCTTAAGCAATCCATACAAAGCAAGGTGTCCTAACCGCTGGCCTTTGTTTACTCTGTGTGCTCTTGCATATACAAAAATTATATCTTGTACTTAAATAATGAGGGAGCGTCATGCCCTGCTGTTTAGGTGCTACATAAGTTATCATGCTAGAGTCCAGATTTTACTGTAGAAAGCTATGAGTTTCCTTGAAATCCTGACTCATATCTGCCAGCCCTGTGTCTTGGTGGTGTCTCAGGTGGCACCAGGTGCTTGTGTATGGGCCAGTGAGTTTTGCCTAGAGATGATTACGTAAAAAAACTACTGATCCAAAAAACTGGAAATGTTTAGCTGAAAATACTTTTAAAAAAGCAACCCTGGCCAGATTAAGTTTCTTCTTAGTAATTTGCTTCATAGTCTCTTAAATTTGTTCTCAGTCCAGAGGAAAAAATGTTAGAAGGAAAATGTTGCATCTTCAGCCTTTTTTTTTCATGAATATTTATTACTGGGTCTTAAAATGCTCATTTATAACTCTTAACACAGATCTCTGGAACTTTGGGGGTAAGATCTGTGGGATTAGAGTTATATTTTCACTCTTCTCAAGCTATTTTTCTTCATCACCTTACCTGGGATATTAACAATATGAACTTCATGATTTTTTTATTTTTAATACTTCAGATCTATTCTAGTCGAGAACTTGAAGAAACATTGAACAAAATCAGGGAAATTCTCTCAGATGACAAACATGATTGGGATCAGCGAACTAATGCGGTAAACTTTTTATCTGATTTCAGGTTTGGGTAGGTGTATTTCATAAAGTGCAGACAGCCAGATATTTTAAAATGTTTTTTTTCCTATAGTCATTACACTCTAGGTAATGAAAGAAATTTTAATTTTTATGCCTTGAATTTCGGTATACTAAGTAAGTTTGAGTATTTTTTTAAGTCTAAAATGCATTTTTGCTGACTTTAAGTGAGAGCCTTTCTGAAAGTTGTCATACATATTTAAGTTTGGTGTTTATGGAAATGCGTCTTCTACAGGTTAAATGCTTGCCTCAGTACCTCTTGTGTGTAGGTATGAAAAGTTCCACCTGCAGGGTAAACATGTTTATGTGTATGTAGCATTTATATTTTTTAATCAGGCTTATGGCATCTTAGTGTTTATAAACAGATATGTGATCAAATTTGTGTTCATGTATTTGTATTCTGAGATAATTCTTTTAGCTCTAGAGCTTAATACAAATTTTTTACAGTTTTTTAAATTACTGCCACGTATTTTGAAAGTTTTACTTTAAAGGCATGCCTACGTGTATTTTTACATAGTGAATCTGTTTCTTTTTTTATTTTGAAATGCATATTGGCAGTGTCCTAACCCAAACACATTCATGTTTTTTAGCTGAAGAAAGTTCGGTCCTTGCTTGTTGCTGGAGCTGCACAGTATGATGGGTTTTTCCAGCATTTACGTCTGTTGGATGGTGCTTTCAAGCTGTCAGCCAAGGATCTCAGATCCCAGGTGGTTAGGGAAGCCTGCATTACTGTAGCGTAAGTACAGTTCATGTGCCTTTGTGTACCTTACTAGGTGTCAGTGTGGGACTGGCTTACAGGTGCTTTATCCATGTTCCAGGAGAGATTCAGTTGTTGGATTGCTGTACACTGTGACCGATAAAGAGTCAAGTCAGGATCAGAAGCTACAGAGGAAAAGAAATGCCTAAAGGAATTTCTTCTCTTAGGGGATACATGTAGTTGATTATCCTGTAACAGACTGTATGTGAATAACCAGTTACCATCATTGCAAAGTCATAATTAGTGCAGATTAATACGAACTTCTGTGAATAATATTGGGGACTTATCTTAGAATCAAGTGCTTGAGTGACTGGCACAGCACTTCACTGGGATTGTTTGTAAAAACAACACAAGTAGGACTGTAGTAGTTTGAACATAGAGCATTTTGGTGAGATAATGCCTCTCATGGAATCATGGAATGGGTTTGGGTTGGAAGAAACCTGAAAAATCATCTAGTTCCAACCCACTGGCAGTGCAGGGACACCTTGCACAGGACCAGGTTGCTCAAAGCCCCACCCAGACTAGCATTGAACACTTCCAGGGCTGTCTCTCTGGGCAAGAGATAGATGACTGTGATAATTTTAGAAGCTGTGGCTAAACTGAAATGAAATCTTCATCTCATGGACTACGTTAAATTGAAGGGCAGAGGAGAAAACCAGAGAAGTGTTTCCCATTTCCATGTTTTCCATGACTTTTTTATCCTTTGGAAAGACATTAGTGTAACCGCTCTTTATCAGTGGTCATCTGAAACAGAAACACTGCAGAGTTCACTCTTGCTATTCTGGTCTCCTGTTTGAACAGACTGAAGGGAAGTGTTGAAGCATGTAACTACCCTTTCCAAGGAACTTTGAGAAAATAATAGTAACCTTTCCTAATGTGAAGTCAGAAGCAATGTAAACAAACTCTGCAAATGTTCTCATCCAGGCCTAACAACCTGGAATTTTCCTTGATCCCTAAAACTTTGATATATTTGATGTCCCATTTGCTGCTGGCTACAAATTATTTTTATGTAGTCTTTCTGCACAAAAGAATCATTTGTGTTCACCAATGGACAATTAAATTACTGTGTGTCACATGTTTTTATATTTGTTAAAGCTGAAAACGTAACCTTTAACAGACAAGGGAGTCGAATTTTATGGCTGGCTGATTGTGGTGAGTTTAATAGTTTTGCCTGCATTCAAAAAGAAAAAGAACTCAATAATTTATTTACAGTTTAGATTTATACATCTCAAAGTATAAGCAGAAATACGATGATACTTTATGTGGACATGAAAATTTAGGCTTTCCAATTGTAGCTTTTGTTTTTCATTATGAAGTAAAGTTATTCATGTTTGACTTCTTAGTATGCCTGCAATCATGAAACTGAGAAATTCCTTTGTTTGGAAAGATGAATCTTGAAAATCCACAATGAACTTCGTTATTTTAAGGCTAAGAAATTAATTTATGTTTTCCATTAACAGCCACCTTTCAACTGTTCTGGGAAACAAGTTTGACCATGGCGCTGAAGCAATTGTGCCTACTCTTTTTAACCTGGTTCCCAACAGCGCCAAAGTGATGGCAACCTCTGGGTGCGCAGCCATCAGGTTCATTATTCGGGTAGGTGTTCCTCTCTCACTTTGCTTGCTCGGAGTTTTCAGATAGTGGCTCTTGGCAGAGATAACAGCTATACTGAAACACAGGTTTTTAAATAATTCTTAAACAGAGGAGTAATGTTTCTCCTGGGTGGACAAATACTGTATATCATTGTAACCAATTGGCAGCATTGTCATAGTAAAGATGGAAGAATAGGTATAAAAGGAATGTCTGTTTTCATGTTTTTGGGATTTTTTTTCTAATGTATTAATTGAAAAAAAAGACCAAGTGTGTTTCAAAGGATAACTGCTTTTAACTACCTTCTTGGAAAAGACAAAATTAAGCTAGTAGCTAAGAAAGTAGTGAGAATTTGAATAGTGCAAACAACAAAACAGAGGTGTTTCTTTCTACATATATACTCCCTCCCCTAGAAAATTCGAACCATGGAGTTAATGATAAAATGTTGAAGAGGCTACACAGTTCAGTTCAGAAAGCACAAGTTCATGAAAGAAAAAACCAATAGAGATTTGATTTTTTTTAATTCAAGAACTTTCTAAGCTGAGTCCTTAAAGCTCTAGCATATGGAACAGAGAAGTAGTCTATCCTAGCTGTTTTCTATTGAATGTTCTTTGAGCATCTTCTACTGAATGGTGTCTCAAGCAAGCTATTTAGAGTTTTGGGACATGTACTGATATTTTTGTGTTTCACATGAAGTGGGAGATTGCCTATAGTTTCTCCATTGGAAGGTGAAGTGTTTTGAATGCCAAGAACTTACTGCAATTTACTGTGATCTCGTTGGTGGTTTTAATTTTGTAAGTAGTTGGAAAGCCTAACAGGTTTCATCACGCCTTTTCTTGCCATCTTCAGTATGGTTTGGAATGTGTACTTGCTCTATTTGTGCCTCTATGAATGTACTCTGAGACCTCTGCATGTGTGACCTTTGCATCTGCATTTGGGCTGAGACAAAATCCCTTGGCATTTTTCCCCCAGGTTCTTACACTGCATTGAGTGCATTGAGATGGCACAGACTTGAGAGTGAGGAAATGAGTACACCTTACACAGAGTAGTTAAAATTGTAAAAGAACAATACTATTTGCAGTAGTGTAAGACAAGATCAGACGTGTAAAAAACTATAAACATTAACCAATTACATTAAATTAGCTGTACTGGTTCAGTTCATTTGAAGACAAGCTTACACATCAGCTATAGTTGCCCTGATTTTGTTTAAATTTCTGTTCTTATCTGTGACTTAACGTAGTCAAGAAAACAAGAAAAAAAGAAAAACAAAAAACAAGAAAATCCTGTCCACATTGTTCAAATACCCAACGAATAAATGGCATATGTGAGGTATTTTGGCAGAAAATTTGGATTTCAGAAATAAATATCAATAAGAAGTGCAGCCCCATGCCCCTTTGGACTTCTGTCCTTTGGACTAAATGAGTATTGGTCAGGGGGTCTTTGATCAATTGAATATTTAGAACCCAAGCTACTACCGTTTTTGGAGTCAGTGTTTTACTCAAAAACTCTTCACCAGCATCCAGTGACAGCCAGCTCAGTTCCTGATGCTTTACTGTGTAATTGCTGTAGAGTGAATCAGCATAAAAACTGGATAAAAAAGGGAAGCTGTATTATACCAGTGATCTTGAAGACCTTCATCTCATCTTTGTGCCTTCATTGGGTTTCATATTTCTTCTCCAAGAAGTTTTTACACTGCAGTCTGATTTCTCTTTCTTGACACTTAGTAGATCAGGAAGCCAATTAAAAAAAAGGTGGCGAGGCACGGAGGGAATAATGGAGAGATGGCATGGTGGCAGAAATCTTTTTCAGAAGGAGGTGGGATTCGAGTTTGTCAACTTCAAGGTGGTTTGCGAGGAAGCACATATCATGACATCCTCAAAGGAATAGCACATGAAATGTGGCATCTTAAAAACTGAATGAGAGCAACGAGGCTTTGATTCCTTTGCAAAATACTTTCTAGAAATTACAACATCGATTGCACCAAAGACTTTGAATGTACAGATTTCTCCATCTGTAAAAAACTTCGGTTTTACTCCTGATTTGCCCATTGTCCCTTTCTGGAAGTCATATGCCTCTTTTCAATTTGCAATCTATGCAAAACAAACAAACCCCCTAAAACTGTGTTTAAAGTATATCAGGACAAACAAATGTAACTGTTAGGCTCTTCCAGAATTTTTTATTAATTCCTTCCTAATTCTAAAATTGGCAGTACTCTGTGAGCTGATGATTATCTCTGCTTTTTTTGTGATTTGTATGTTTATATCCTGCAGTTGTGATACATGAGAGAGTAAGAATTCTTCAGTACTGTACTTCTTGAGAGCTTGGATTTTTTTTAATTAGCCTACTGTTTCACACTCTATTGGGGACTGTTTACTGTAGGTATTTAATCAAGAAAGGACTAAAGAAATTAACTGAAAATAGATTTGTTGAACCACATTACTCTTAACTTGGAATTAAAGTGGTAATGCTTTGTGTCTACAGTTAGTTAAGAAAAGCTGAAGTAAGGCAACTTTAATTCTAAATTCTGTAATGCATTTGGACATAATGTAGTTTATCTTAGGCATAGTTTAATAGTTTTCTTCTCCCGTCAGGTGTTTTCATATAGATTATATATATAAGCTTGCTTATATGTCAGTGCTTTTATTACTTCATTGACGTACTTTGCATTAAAGGAAATTTGGTCCTTGTGGTGCTAATCATACTGATCCTTGTAAGACTGCCCATATTTTCATATTTATTGATTCACTTTTTGCTCTGACTTCTAAGGCCGCTGTGTCTATGACTTTTTTTGCCTGTGGCAAAACTGAAATAGCATCAGCTTTCAACTCCTTTGAGGAAACAGCTACATTTGAACTCCTTATATTACTTTTGACAGCAAAGTATTGCATATCATGATGTGTTGTTGATGGCACTGGAATTGGTTTTTGCTTGACCTTTTGGAAGAAAATAGCTTTAATCAATTGGCATGCTAACAGCAGTCTTTCATTTAATAATATTCTATGATTTTGTTTCGGCAAGCATTTTAAATTATTTCAGTTTTTATTATGTTGTTAATTCTGTTTAAATTAATTAGTACAGTACAAATTCAGAATTCAGGCGTGCTTTACTCATTAACTGCTTTTTCCTTTTTTTGTCAGCATACTCACGTGCCACGACTCATACCTTTAATAACAAGCAACTGTACTTCAAAATCAGTTGCAGTTAGAAGGTGAGTACATTATAAATGAAAATTATTAAAGCTGTTGTTTTTTAAAATATAATTATCATATGTTGAAAATTAACAAATGAAATGATTTGTGACCATAAACTCTGAACACACAAAGCTGTTACCCAGTAAACTGCAAACTACAAACATTAATTTCAGCAGTGGGACAATGGCAGCTAGATTAGGACATGGAGCATCCATGTGTTGTCGTGTTCAACAGCTCAGCTACATCTCCAGCATGTTGCTTTCTTCAAGAACATGATGCTTGAACACTTAATTGGCTCTTGAGAAAATTGGTTTTTGACAGTGCCATTTTCTGTGCTGAATCACACAAAAGCAGTTAATGCTGTTCCTGGACCAACACTAGTCCTGAAAGTGATGTCTCTATGTGTACACAGGAAACAGCTTGAGCATTTGAATTACTTTCTTTGAGTCTAAGCTGCTTTTGCATCCAAGACAGGTGTTACCTCAACCCAGATTGTACTGACCTGCCACAGCTTCCATTTTGACTGCAAAACAGTTTACAGGATTTCAGTGCCTCCACATGCTGTGGTGTTACTGAGGAATGTTAGACTGTAGGTGGCTTTGATACTGCAGTTCATAATCCAGTGAGTATCACTGAAGGCATTGTCTCCATATTGCTTTCATTCTTTTGGAAAGACAACAAAACACTAGATTGGCTGTAATAGTGAAAAGTATTTCAGGGTTTCTTGCCCTGCCTTGTTGGTGTCCGAAGGATGTGGGCAGAATCAAAACCAAATTTGTCCCTCCAGAACAGGTCAAAAATGCTGAATAACCAGAAAAAGTGATAGTTTCAGGCTGTCAAGTTCACTTCATGTTTGAAAATTGTTATCTATATCTCCTTAGTCTGTGTCAGTTTGATATTTTGTCAGGATCTAGCATCAGACATAGTTTAAAAGGCTGCCTTTTGCTAATGGTGGTTTTCTAAATTATCAAGAGTTCCAAATTAATAATGAATACAGTTACATATCTTCATTAATACAGTGCCAGAAAATCTTTTGTAGCGCTTTCTATATGCAGAGCCCTCTGCTAATAGTCTCATGTTTTCCTTTATGCTAATACTCAGTAGTGACAGATGAAAGGATGGAAATAGTGTTTGGGACAGAAGTATACTGCCATAGGAATATTATATCATGTCTTTAATATTTATGTTTTATATTAGGATTTTGAACTCTGTACAGTTTTTTCAACTTCATTAATTTATGTCTGTTATTTTGTGACTAATACAGTTAGCACTGGGTATGCGTAATAACATGACTTGAACAGCACATTGTTAATTGAACCACATCTATTATTTTGAAGTTTAAGATTAGTTAGTCTGCATGTTTTCTTAATATACAAAATATTTTAACTTTCCAGTAAGGTAACCTTATTTTACAGATAAATGTGTTTTTTATTTCATTTTTTTCCCTTGGGGGAAAGAGTAAAGTTAGTGGTTATTTCACAAGCACGTTAGAGAAATAAGTGTTTAATTATTACTTTTGTTCTGTGTTTTCAGACGCTCCTTTGAATTTTTAGACCTGTTATTACAAGAGTGGCAAACACATTCACTGGAAAGGTATGGGCCAGTATACTTTTTCCCCTAAAATAAACTACTAATGTAATTTAAGACCAGAAATATTGTTAAATAGTAAAATAGTTAAATCCTAATTGGATTATGTTGCTCAGTGTTGGCCAGCCTTTCTGGCCAATGGAAAGACAATAGACAGCTTTTCTAGCACAGCAGGTCGTGCAGCTCATTCAGGTGCCAGGGGGAAGGAGAGCTGTATGTTCCAGCCTTGGCTTCCTGTGGCCTCATCTCTTTGCCCTCTGCCTCTCCTATCCTGTGTGTGAGCAATGCATACACATGTAAGCATCTGTCTTTTCTCCTGGAAGGAGGAAATTTGTGTGTTTGCAATGAAAGAGGGCAAGTGGGCTTAGGCTGGAAGACTTTTTGTTGTAATGAGTAAGAGCACACTGTGACTTCTCCAGATAGATGGGAAAATAGTACATGCATCAGTTCTGCAGGATGGTCACAGGGCAAGAGCAAAGAGACTAAAGGGCATCCAGAAAAGGCTCTGAAGAATTCATCCAGCTCCACAGTCACATTTCTGTCCCCCAGGGTGCTCCTGAGAAAGGGAATAATGGGGAAATAATTTATGTCAAAATGTCTAAAAAAGCCCACAAAACCCACCACCTCTCCCCCACCCCCAAAATAACAAACCTCCCATCTAAAGCTTACCTTGAGTTAAAACTTGTCTTCGCAAGTTTGTGTTCTGATGGGTACTTTGCTGTTCGTTGAACTTGTATTCAGATTTAGAGCTCGTGTGCCAAAAGCCTTCAGAGCTGAAAGAAAACTTATAGTCTTAATTTTTCCCATTTTCTTACTATTAGTGTAACAAAGGAAATAGTTTTTCCATTTCAGGAAGGCAAGTGACTTGAAAAAAATATTTTAAAAAAATTTTTAAGTGTGATAGGTGGACATATGTCAGAAAAGTAGATTAAAATCCTTTTAGATTGAAGGAGTAAGCTGACCTAAACCTTTACAGTTATGTCATCGGTGTGCTTAAGTGTTTGTTTACTGTGTATTTTGGAAAGAACTAGCATTGCAGCTGTTTTTTACTTGGTGAAATGTTAATTAAAGTGTAAAATCTAAGTTCTGCTTAGAATTTGGAGTAGCAAAACAGCATGAAGAATGTCTTTCTTCTAGGCATGCAGCTGTCTTGGTTGAAACAATCAAGAAGGGCATTCATGATGCTGATGCAGAAGCAAGAGTGGAGGCAAGAAAGTGAGTTTTGATTAATTTTGCTCTGAAAAATTGCTTGTGCTAAATGAGTGATAGAAGACTAATCCAAGGTGAGATACTGTCCATGGCTGAAAAGGACATAAGTTTCTTCGAAAACTGGCATTTCTGTCCCAAATTACTACCTAGTTTGTTTTGCAAAAGTTTGTTGTCAAAGCTGAGTCAGTCAATACAGTTGTTCAGCATTTGATGGCTCCACCAAAAGAAGAGTTTGGAAGATTAATATTGCTGCATGATCATTCTCCTGTCATTAATTAAGTCTTTAAACAACTGCAGTATTTTGACTAGTGAGAAGGCCAGAAAACAATTCCTTTTGCTTCCCCACACAACTGGTAAGTGAATGTGAGACATTCAGATATATTTAAGTTATTTTGAAAAGATTAATTGAGTCAGTGTAGCTGGTTTCTTTTCTGACTTGATGAGCATTGTTGCGTGCTTTACATACTCTCAGTTCCTTTCACTCCCATCCATGGTTCATTCTGTAATCTCTACTTCCTGACTCCACTCTTCAAAGAAAATACTGAGCATTTACATGTGGTTATTCTTTCTTGCAGGGCTTATCTCGGCCTTAGAAATCACTTTCCTAGTGAAGCTGAGACTCTGTACAATTCTCTGGAGCCGCCCTATCAAAGAAGCCTTCAGACCTACTTGAAGAATTCTGGCAGTATAGCATCTCTTCCTCAGTCGGACAGGTCATCTTCTAGCTCACAGGAGAGCCTCAAGTAAGGGTCACTTCACTGTTTCTGAGCCAAGAAACAAATGCAGTTTCTCAAAAGCAAATTACCCAGATTCCTGTTGAATACAGAAAAGCCTCAGTTTTATTTTGTGACTTCTAATTTTTTTAATAAAAATTTCTTCTATGATGTTTTGTTATATGACAGTGTTACCCCAGCAAGGTGGAAAATACAGGCAGTCTTTACTGGGTTTTGGCTTGCTGTATTCATGCATTAATTCCTTAAGAGCTGCCTTAAACACAAAAATACCTTCAAGGTTCATATTGATGTCCAGCATTCTGAAGCACTGAATAGGTCCAGGAAAGCTATAATGATGTTACTCCTTTTTCATCTCTTTTCACTGGCAAGCCTGAAAAAGGAACATCTACAATGAGATTTATTGGAGATTGATTTGGGTTTTTTTTCCCTGTCTTCACAGTACTGAATATGTATTGGCAATATTTTGCAGCTCTGCCAGTTACTACAGGCTGGGTCTGTGCTGCAGTCAGTGATATATTAAAATGCATAGAAAATCTTGAGCTGAATAAATTAAAGTTTTCTTAGGTACCAATAGCAAAAGGAGTCTACTGGCTTTTTAGCAGATATGTGAAGTAGTAGAAATAGTAGTATATGGTGATTTTTACCTTTAAATGCTAGAAAGCTTCCTCCAAGTATTTCATCCCTTTGGTATTTCAAAACCAGAGAGCTTGTCTGCTCACTTTTGAATTGAAAGCAAAAACTGCTTCTCTCATATTGGAAGTCACTTTTTTGGGTTGTTGGGTTTTTTTTGGCTAATGCCTTAAATACCAGAAGATTACCTTATCTTTCTTATGATAATTGTAATTATAAAAAATGTTTTTAAAATAATTGTCTGTGATCCAAGCAATTGCCAGCACTTAATTTTCCACAAATGTTTATTCAAAGATTAAATATTCTATTTTAAATTCATCTGTGTTCCCCATCTGAAAATAAAAGTGCTGTTAATGAGTTACTGGAAGTATACTCTTAAAAACTAAATTACAGGGAAATTAGAATCTTAAAATACTCTTAAATCTTGAAATGTTGCTTCACATATTGCAAGATATGTAAGTGTTACAGTACAAAAAGTGAAGGGTAAAATAAGAAATGAACAGAAGAGGTAATGATACTGGAAATTAATGGAATTTTAGTTGATTTATTACTAACTGCATTCAGATGGATGTTTTTACTCTGTTACCCAAAATTTTATTTCTGGCTTTTAGTATAGATACTGAATTCCTCCTGTATAGGCTAAATTAGGAAATACGGGTATGATTTTACTAAAAGTCTGATCCTCTCTGATTTTTGACCTTCTGAACGTACATCTCATACAGATCATTAATCCAAAATTGTTTCAGAGAAGATGGAGGAATGAGAGAAAAATGTGGCGACTTCTGCCTACCTGGGTGAAACTTCTTAGATAAAATGTTAATTGCAGTAGATTGTGGCAGTTGTCTGGGACTTCTGCTTGGAGCAAGTTGTAAGGTCAAGATGCACCGAGGAGCTCTACCTCAGCCTCCTCACCTTACTTGAGGCAAAGTACCTTCAAAACACTAGTTAGTCGTGTCAGAAAAGCAGGTTTATTCAGAATAAGCTGCAAAACACATGTTCTTCTGTGAGGGTTTAGGTAATGGTGCTGACTTCTATATTACTGCTGAGCGCCTGAGCTAATAACTGAGGTAAATACACAATATGAGGCATCTCTTTTCTCACCTGCTCTTAGGTTTAAAATTAGAGGAATTATTTTTACTGAAGCTGAGACACTGAGTCAGCTTGAATTTGACTATTGATCAAATACTCAACTATTTCATCAAATACAAACTTTCCTGTCAACCAATGAATACGCTATTATATTTTCTTCTACCAGTCTTTTTCTTTTCTCTGGTCTCTCCAGCTGCATTTTGCTCTTCTAAACCAGGCCAAAGGATGGACTCACAATTAAACTTGACTAGACTGAAATATGGTGCTTCAGTAACTACTCCTTTTGGCAGTGAAAAGGAAATGAAGATAAAACAGAGGAAAAGACATGGGCTTTTTCTCCTTTTTTAATTTATGGGAGCCACTGCATTCCAACAGGGGAAATGGAGTCTAGGTGCTTGGAAGCATCAACATTTAGTTTTTTAATTTATAACTTAATTCTTGAGACATCTAGGATTGGACACCACATAATGTCTTTCACAAATAAAGCTTTTTGGGTAGCTCTCACTGTTCTTGTTTGATGGCTGATAAGATCAGCCCTGTGGTTAAAATGTCATACTGACTACCTTAAATGTTTCTGTGACCAAGTCTGGAATGCCTGAACTTTGCTAACAAAGTGTGCCTGTTGGTAGCTGAAGGATTAGTGCTTTGTGATTAAGATGTAATTTTATAAAATATAAAGGATAAGATAATTCTGGATTTATCATCATTCTCTATTTAAAGTATTTTTTTCATAAAATATGCTGAGAAGGTTGAAGGATAGAAAAGAACAGAAATTTTGTTTTTCCTCTTTTATTTTTGACTTTTGCATCTGATACATGAGACTTACTGGATTTATTGACTTTTTTCAGTCGGCCTCTATCATCTAAATGGTCTGCAGCCAACCCAGCAAGTCTTGCAGGCAGAGGTAAGGTGGTAGTAATGTAATGCAGTGCATAGTTATTGTTCTTCAGGTTCTTTGAATTAGAAGTTCTAAATACAGCTTGAAATTTGACTGTATCAGCATTTACCCTATTTCCAACATAAATAATGGTATGTGTCACTACAAACTGTACCTGAAGCTAAGATTGCCTCATACTCAAGTCGCATTTTTATGTAGTTTTAACTGTTGCAAGTATAAGACATAATTCAGTTTTAACTGATCATCTGTCCTGGAGTTTTGTCATGGAACAGTCACTCTCAGAGAAACAAAACATTATTCTTTGGTCTGTTCATGATTAGGCTTATGGCTATTGGAAATTAAAGACTGACTTTCTCTTTCATCTATTCCCATGTAGCTGTTGCTCTTTATTAATAAAGAAATAAAAAAACAACAGCCAAACTACATATTTGTAATTCAAAGAGTTTAATAATGTGTTTAGTTTTCAGAATTTAATAACTTCAATGTCTTTTTCCATAATGTCTTAGTAACTCTTTAGAGAATCATTAAGCTGCTTTTTACAAATTGACTGTAATTAAGAGTGGATATTGAAACTGATAAGGGAGACAAATTTAGAAGACCTAAAGCAATGGTTAAAATTAAGAGAATAGTTAAAATTCAGTAAATAATAGGAAGTGAATATGAAAACACTAAAGATTAGACCCTAAAGCATTTCAAAGTATATATTCAGCTCACCTGTCTGTGGCTTTACCTTAGCTGAAGTGTGGGAATATTTTCTTCCTTCAGTTTCTCAAGGAAGGATGTGAATTTTCTTACATTTGTGAATCATTCAATAATGTAATAAATCACACAAAGGTTCAGAATTGTCATTTGTGCTAGGATGGGAACAGAAAGTTTGTTTTAAATAATGCTACAAATTCATGTTGAATTAAGATAAGTACTACTGTAAAGCAAGCTGTCCTTTATGTGCAGTTCATGGCAAGACCAGGTCTAGTTTGCTTTTTAATCTCAGTAATTCTTGGTTTAATACTAATTTAAGCTTTTTTACATATTTTTTGTGCTTTCTTGCAAGCATGCTGCGGTAGTTGAAGATGTTAACCTTTTAAATATCATTCATTTTATTCAATATCAACTCCTTTCTTTTTTTTTTTTTTTTTTTTCTCCCCTTTTATGGTAGTGTCAGGCAGCAGCAAGGGCATCCCAAGCCTGGGTACCCTGCAGAGGTCTCGCAGTGACATCGATGTGAACACTGCTGCAGGTGCAAAGGCTCGCCATGCTGCTGGACAGACAGCTGGAGCTGGGCACCTCTCAGCAGCCGGGCTGCCCCCAGGGTCCTATGCCTCCCTAGGTAAGGGAAGCACCTCTGCACTTCTCTGAGAGGTTCTTGTGATTTTCTTGATCAAAAAATTACAGTGCCGTGCTCATATATTTAAAAAGCAGTCATCATAAGTAGCACTGGAGTGTCGCAAAATAACCGATGTTCTGAAGTTTGCAAACTTCAGGTTTTTTGCAAATTTCAACTAAAATTGCAAACTTTCATAGATGCTGTATTGTTCTTGTGCTAGAAAAATGCCAATGCAAAGTGTGTGTCCATACTATACTCTTCGAATGTCTTAATCTAGAATTAATAACAAGTGTTGGAAGCAGTGGTATCTTCACTTAACAGTATGTGGTGATCATGCCTTTCTTTGTAAAAGTAATAGGGAAATGAGTGTGAGAGCTCTTGATTTTCCATTTTTCTTAGCTCTTCAGGTTTTTTACAAGAGTGCTAAAGAGATACCCTGGCAGTAAGAGATGGCTTCTTCATGAAATAGAGAAGTGTTTTTCACAATAGCTTCCTACATTGAGTTCATAATTTCTTCCTAAGGGCATTGATGGAACTTTGTGTATACTTTACCTAGCTGACAATCTCCACTGATATTTGCTGTTAGACATAGAAAGTGCTACAAGTGGTAAGAGTGCAGAAAAGTATTTGATAGTGATGGTGGTGGTGTAGGTGCTAGAACATCCACTAAGTAGCAGTAGTAAAGGACTTTGAACTGTTTTTATTCTAAATGTTTAGCTTATCTGTGCTGTAGGAATAGCAGTGGGGGAAGACAGGTTCAGTGTTCACAAAACTCGTTTTTTCTTCTCAATTTCTGTGCCAGCTAGACCATCAAGGAGATACATTTTCCAATTTTAGTATGGGCCACAGATGATCACAAGAGACAAAGAAACTATATAGTTCTGATTTGCATTTTGTTTGGGTAGATGTTAGCTTACATGTAGGCTGTGGTTTGTGAAGGTTTTGGTTGTGCTCTTTATAATCAAAACTTAAAAGCTATCTAAAATTAATTGATTCTTTTTGTTATCAGGGCCCGCTTGAAATGCTGTGAACAGCATTTACTTTAGTGTTAATTTAAAACGTGAGCAATCTCGACTTTAAAGGAATACTTGGTACTTGGAATAGCAGTTTTGGATGTGAGCTTCCTCTGGTGCCCACAGAGGGGCAGCAGAGCCTGCTGGGTCGCAGATGGACTCCGACATGAAGCTACTTAGTGGAGGGGGTACACCGGTGGTTCCCCGGGGAAACTGTGGATGCCCCATCCCTAACTCTGTTCAACACTAGGCTGGATCAGGCTTGGAGCAAACCACTCCAGTGGAAGGTGTTCCTGCCCACAGTAAGGGGGCTGGAACTTGATGATCTTTAAGGTTCTTTCCAACTCAAACCATTCTATAATTCTGGAGCTGTCAGTTCCTCCTAACTTAATGTCTAAAAGCCTGAGATATGTGGGGTGATTATTTTCCAAGATGAGAGTATTGCCTGGTGTGTTTTGATGTGCAACAAAACATAATGAACCTCAGACAAAGCTGGCATTCAGAGAAGTAAAAGTAGCGCAGAGCATGGTGAGAGAGGGAAAAGTCAACTGGAAAATGAAGAGATAGATCCTGCTCTGTTAATGTCTTCTTTATGCTGCTCAAATGAAGGGACTATTATCTTAAGCCTTTCACAGAAAATTAGCTGTTGATTGGAGTATTGGTTTGCTTTTAGAACATTTTAAGCAATATCTGATTCATGCCAGGAATTTTATAAGCAAGGGTTGAGAAGGGCATGCATAGAGGTTTCCAGTGAAGTAAACACTGGTGGATTTATGCAGGAAAATAACAGAAATAGCTTATTCTCTGTGGTCGTTGTGACGCATACAGAAAGAGAGAGACACAAACACACACCTGACTTCAAGTTGGTCGAGCAGCAAAAGACCTCTTTATTTACACAACATGACTATTTATGGAAATCTAACAATGAGCATGGATTGGACAGTGATGATGAGACCTCTCGACTCCACTGGTTCATCACAATGTCAATCCACACTCACTTCCTCCAAAGAGGAATGCAAAACAATTCTGTTTACCAGAAAGAGTGTGAGAAAGTGTAACAATAATATGTCAACATCAGAAGGTCAAAAACACCAGGGCAACAACTCTCTTAGTAATTTATTGATTGGACAAGTGAGGATGGGGGAGAGGAATAATAAGCAATAAGTCTCGGTCCTATTCATTTGAAGGATTTCAGTTGCTGGAAAGCTTTACCTTGCTAGCAGATGCAGTCACATAGGAAGAACAGTGTGATGGTCATTTGAACTGACAAAATAGCGTAGGTACTGGCAAAGAACAGTAGAAATCAAATGCTAGTTCAGACATTGAAAGAGCAATAGTAGTCAAGGAGACCAAGGTTTGTTTGCAGTCACATAACAGCAGTACCGCTTGACTGATCTTGGCTTAATCTCCTAACAGGTTTTTGACTGTGGTAAGGTAATTTGAATGATACATACCGTGTAGACAGTGTTATTGTTGTTTGTTGTGGGTTAGCTTCAAAATATTGTTTACTCCTGGTATTCTGAAGGTAACCTTAAAATTAGTGGGATGGAAATCCAAGCAAGTGCCATGTTTCAGAAAATGGGCTAATTTGCAAACTTGTTCCCTCTTCATTTTAAGGGATTTATTTATAGTAGCCCAAATATGGAAAATTAAATGACAGAACTACCAAGCTAATGCTGACCATGGTCCAAAAAGGCCTAGGAAATGTTGCTTTCTTTCCGTAATGCTTTCCACTTCCTTTAGGTGTTGCAGTCAGTACCAAAATAAATTATATTGTCTCCTAGACCTTGAATTTATTTTCAGTCTAGCTTGCAGAGAAACATTCACCTTTCGCTTACAAAGCTACCAAATTTAAAGCCTCAGAAGGCTAGAAGCTTATAAGCATAGTAGTCCATAAGTGTGTTGACGTATCTCTTCCCTTTTCATTATTAATAGAAGAACTCTTGCTTATTTATGATTTATTAAAAGACTGTTCTAGAAGCAAGAGGATACCTTTTAGTTATTTTAAATGTTGACTATCTTTGACGTCCTTAAGTGTTAATGTCCTTATTGAGGAGGCGTGAGCTGTAATTATATATGTTTTGTGCTAAATATTTTAATTTTGTTACTGTCAGAGTATTTATACACTACCTTCCAGCTGAACTGGTAAATATTTAATGATTTTAAACCAGAGTGAAACTTTCTCTCGTTTTTCCTCTGTCTTAATTGTGCTATTTTTTCCCTCCTGTCACTAACCCCAGGTGGGGCTTCATGCTCAGAAGCAAATTTCATAAGAAGTATAAATATGTGATTCAGTAATGAAACAAATATGTACGAATGCTTCAGTTACAGTTTACAAGAATAAAACCGTTTATAAATGTTTTACTGTAAGGGTTTTCTCAAATCTGGGAAATACAGGATCAGTATCCCTGTGCTGGGTACTTGTACCCGGTTTTGTAATTTTGTACCTTGCACTGAGCAAAACCAACTTTGCTTAAGGTAGCTTATACATCCATTAATTAGATAAATATGTCTGCTGTATTTAATATTAATGTATTTTCCTCAATTAATGTTTTATGACTCTGCTGTGAGCACCTTTATTCTAACACACTAAGTTTTCTGTATTTCTCTGCCTGCTTTTTCAACAAAGAGGATACTTCTGACAAGATGGATGGTAAGAAATTATTTAGTCTGTCTTCTAATTCTATTAAATATCTAATAAAGTGTCTTTTATGTAAAAGGATTGATGTTTAATATATTTGTCTGTTCATTAACAAATTACTATGCTGTTTCCATTAAATCCTGTGTAATCTAGATGTCTTATTATATGTGTTATTGCTGTATTTGTGAATTTTGTGAATGTTTGGTCTCTATCAGCAATGTTATGAGAAATCTGACATTACCCTTCTTTTTTAAAAGAAGCTCTGTTAATTACAGAGCAGTTTAGTAATTGTTACATGCTGATTTTAACTAAATACATGCTTCTAAAATTAATCTGCTTCCAGTTTATTCCATAGTTTTACACGTAAAGTAATTTTTTTTACTTAGCAGAACAGCAGTGAGAGAGCAGAAGATGTTTGACCACACAAGTATAAAAAAAGGCAAAAACAAAAAAAATTTCCTCTATCAAAATCTAGTCTTACTACGTAGCTTTAAGTGCCTCTAAATTCTGTAGTACAATCTAATTCTATTAAAGAATCATTTGTGAAGAAGATCTACCTGTTAAAATAGCTTACCAAGTATTCCATCTAAGTTTTAGCACTTTCTTTTTCTTAATTCACTCTGTTACAAACACATGGAGGGACTGCAATGCAGTTGAGCTATTGTCTATTTCAGATGTGTGCAGATAATGCTTCACATATAATAAAATGACAGTCCTAGCCTGCTCCTTGTTGATTGTAGTTCTAATTTATTGCTTTGGAGCACTTAACGAACACTTAACAAGTTTGCTGCTTACTTAATATTTTGTGTCACATATTTATTAACTGTGCATGTTTGGAAGAATGAGTAGTTCATTGGAAGCAAATGTATCTCATAGAAATGAAAAGAGTAAGAAGGTAGATCTCTAAACCAGAATCCTGAATAATTTCGAAACACAGATGCTTCTTGAAAGAATTGGAGCTGGTTTCGAGCACTGAAGATGTCAAGACTAGTTTAATAAAATGAGGGGTATTTCTACTGGATAGTAGAGTCTGTATTGCTTATTTCCATGTTACATTTCCTTAGGCTTCATGTAGTAGGCTTTGTTTATAGCTGTTACTTATGGCAAATCTTGAGCTTTGGATATTGTCACCAAAAATAAAGGTTCTTAGGTCCATGTAGGCCTAAGAAACATGGCCTTTTCTTTTTCTTCTGTTGTGACCAGAAGTCACAACTAATGATATATTGCACATTTCTGTTTAAAACCAGCAAGGGAAGTGCTATACAGTTGATCACAGTAACAGGATGGGGTTTTGTTCCAGAGGTTATCTCTAGATAAGGTCTGCAAGATGAAATGAAAACAGCTTAGCCATCCAGCTGTAGTTGTATGATACAGCTGTTCTGATCTAACCACCACCAGGACGAACTAATCATTTTTCAGTTTCCCACTAACCTTGTCCACATATTTTTTATCTTTTCTTTTTTAGTACCTTGTGATATTACATTATTGATTACTGTAGGGAAACAAACTCCACAGAATTGATTTCATGAAAGTGACTAATATTCTGTTACTTAGTTTTTGGAGCTGCCATGGTTAGCTGCCATCCAGACCAGATGGTAGGACAAGGCTGAGAGCAAAGAGAAACAGAACCACCCCTTTTAGGGACAGCTGTCTGTTAGCCTTAGGCATTGCGTAGAATCTGCCTTCCAAGATCAAGCTCTGCAAGACTGTTGGATTTGGAGGGGTAGTTCAGGATTTGGGGGTTTTTTGGTTTTGAGTTTTTGCAAACTGGCAAATTTGATCTGGAAGACTTTGAGGCACTCCTATGTATATGTATTACTGTAACTGATTTTTGTGAAGAAGCGTTGAAATATACACTGAACTAGGTTTTTAGAGGGAATTTTTTAAAAATAGTTCAGTGAAGATACTGTAACATGAGAAAACAAATCTTCCCAGCAAATCTAAATTCAGGCTAGCCAAAGACACTAGCAGATGTTTTTATCATTGTAGTTCTCTTAAAAGGCAGAAATGGTAGAGAGTGAAAATAAAGGTGGAGGTACCCTTCAGTTTTTAAGGAGCATTTAACATTTTTATTTTAGTAGTATATATTTTATTCTGTAATAAGATCTATTTCAAAGGAACTTAAAAGAAGGACTGCCAATGAGGCAGGGTCCCATCAGTACTGATGGGAGAAAGGCTTCTCTGACTCTCACGTTGTCAAAAATCAAGCCTTTTTAAGCTCGGCATACTTGTCCAAGTGTGATCTGATTTCAGAAAGCTCATATTCCTTCCATGTCTCTGAGCAAGACTTGATCTTGTACATGTGTATCTTCAAAGTAATCACAGGCTTAATTCAGAGAAATCCTCCTTGCTGGCAGTTCCTATCAAATTGTCACTGTCCAGTGTGAGAAACATTGTCTGTGTGTTTTTCTCTGAGGTTATGTATAGTAGTATGTTTTGTATTTTCAGAAGAGCTTGCAGTACAGTATTTTTAATGTCTGTTTTGATCTGTATGTAATTTTGTTGACTGATCTCATAGATGTAATTTTTTTCAATTGACCTTGTGGTTTGGAAGGCAGTGATGTGCATTATGTTCTTGTAAATTGCTATCAGTGTAGCATGGATATTTTCTTGATAATTTTACTTCAGTTATGGTCTTGCAACATAAAAGCTTTAGCTCTCTTGACTTGATAAAATTTGTCAAGATTCCCAAGATTAATCTCAAAAAGAAACTTGAAAGACATAGTATTGTTCGGAATATCATGTATTTTATTATTTTTTTCTGTTTAGGATCAGCTTCTGAAGATGGTAAGAAAATGCTTTGTTAGACTAGCTAGTATTTTCAGCTTCATATTTTCATTGATACAAATGAAGCTTTAGAAGTAGAACCTTGTGTTTCTTGGGCTTTGTGGAGGTTCATAACAGATATGGGCTTATGGACTAACAGCTTATGCATCTAATACTTGGTTGTCATGTACTATTTTTAAAATTCTTTTGCTTTTATTTTAATTCTCAATTACTCATCTGAAGTCTTAAGTATCATTGGTTAACATTTATACTGTGAAAATACGGGGGCTTTAATTTTATGTCTGTTTTTTAAAGCAAATCTTGTCACAGACTATTTCATCAAATGTGTTCATGCTCTGGGAAGCAGGTGCTACTATTAGTCATCTCGTTGAGACTTGGAAGCTAATTTTCAATCTGTTATTAACATTTAAACCTGCTGTTAGTGAATGGATGTTGAGACTCTAAATGAGTTAGCAGTTCATTTAACTCAGAGACACAAACTGGTTTATTTTACATTGATGAAACTGAAACAGGTTGCAGGTGATATTTTAACATAGTTTTGGAATAGTGGCACTCTGTATTCCTAGGTTTTGGGCCAAATTCTGAATGCAGTTTACATGCCTTGCAGTCTCACAGCACTCAGTGGGAAAACATTGCCATTGCACGGGGATAACTAGTAGAGTTTGGACTAGTTAATCTAACCATTCCTACTAAGCCTATTATTTTCTAATAGTTTAGTGAACAGCCTCCTTTATCCTGATTCTCTTTTTATAGACTCTCATCTGTGGCTGTTCTCTACATGGATGAATAATATTAACTTGGTTGGTCTCCAAATTCTACTGTGGAAAGCCTAAAGAAGCTAGAACTAAATAACAGTCTGTGTACCTAATTCTTTTAGGTCAAATACTGACTCAGCATGTCTAGACGATATTTTAATTATGCTGTGTTTCAAACTGTTGAGCTTGTTGAGCTAGATCCACCCTGTTCTTTTTGGGGTTTGTTCTTGCAATTTAGAAGAATTATGGTTAGCATGAGTTTGGGTTTGATTTTATTTTTCTGTTGTTTGAGAGGTTGGCTTAGGAAATGTAGTATACAATACCACTGTTTTCTCTTATGAGTGATCTTCCAGTTACCTATAATTCAGATGACTGAGGTCTTCCTTTCTTTTATAATTTCTTTGTATGTGCTGGATGTTATGAGGAGCATGGCTAGCAATGCAGAAAGGTTTGACCAAACCCAAGAGAATATGTCATTTGCCATTTGGCATACTAGAGAAAAGTGAATCTCTTGTTTTATTTGTAGATAGTTTAATTTGTCTCTTGCTTGGCTTTTCTTTCTATTGGGGAGAGTAGTATTTCTTTATATCATGTTGCCATGAGAAAGACTTAAATGCAAAATGCTCTAGAAGGTTTGGGAAATCCTGTAGAAGTCTGTATGACCAGGGTCAGGAAAACAGTAGAATCTTCAGTAATAAAAATAGCTAGTATTTAGATTTCTAAAAAGAGGAGTGAAGTTAGGAAGAAAGCTCAGAATCCTATTCTGTAGTTTTATGACAGCAAAAGTAGAATTACAAGCTCAAGTAATCATGTACCTGATACAGCAACATTAGTGTTTGCATTGCATTATATTGAGTAAACTTCCCCTTTTTTTAATGTAATCAACATGTATTTGTTGGAAGGAAGAACTAGCTAACCCCAGGAGGTTGAAGGTGTAATGTGCAAATTTGTTTGCTGAAACATGTAGCATCAGAGGAGAAGTATTTTGCTTCCTTAGCTATTAAATTCCTTAAGGTGTTCAAATTTCTACTAATTATCCCAAGCGAATTGTCACCAGTTGAGTTACATTGTGCTTCTTTTATACGCAGAAACTTAAGAAAATATTAGTAAGTACGACTGATGCTCTGCTTCCTACCTGGCAATGAAAAACTGATTTAATGCCATTTTTCTTTTCTAGGTCGTATACGATCAAAGCTCTCGACCCCTTCTGTTGGTATTGGAAGTTCTAAAGCAGATTCCAGAGGACGGAGTAGAACCAAAGTGGTGTCACAATCTCAGCGTATGTATTTTCTGTTTGTCAGTTATACGTGATAAAGAGGCCAAATGCTTAAGCATTTATTCATTGATCAATGGCTACAGTCAAAGTTAATTTTTTTTAAAAAGCTATGTACTGAGTTGTTGTTCTGTACCTTAGGTTCATCATCGCCAGACCAAAACGAAGGTATTTTTTTTCAGTGTTTTGAGTCAGTGGTATTTGCATGCTTTTCTGATTCATGTTGTTTTTCTCTAGACAAAATACTAGGTTAGATCTTAGTTTGCCAATTAAATTAGATAATGTAGTAGGAACAAATTAATTCTTAAATTCTGTCTTCAATTATAACTTCTCAACATTCTTTTCCCCCCTTTTCTGACTTTCCCAACATGAAAGGCCAATAAACATGGACTAGTAATAGAGAAGAATGGGTAGGCTGAAGGATGTCTTTATTGTTGCCTGTGAGACCGAATTTTTCATTTTAAACAAGTCTTATTTTAGCCAGAAATACCCATTTTCACTTTAAGCTAAGCACTGCTGTAGCTCTTGTATATAAACTCCTTTTTTTTTGTATTATAGCTCTTGCCTTTACTTAACTCTTCTATGAAGGAAAAATATGACCCCTCCCATTACAATCAGTTACGTAGCTTGTGTTGAGTCAAGTTTAAAACAAGCAATTTAATGTGTGTCAGCTAATCCGCAGTAATTTTCTGTGTGTGTTTAGTAACCAAAGCAGATGCAACATTTTCAGTCTAGCCAAGCACTCAGTCATTAATTAAAAAGACCTGATTACCTCACATTCTTTGGCACTGGCTGACCTACAGCAATTCATCCACACATCTGATGTCTCCAACAGACATTTTCTGACTAAGCTCTGTCGCGTTTTCAGATTCTTATCTTTCTCTAATTAGGTGAAATGCAACTACATTAATGAAAGGAAGACAAATGCACAATAAAATTAACTTCCCACTTGTACGAATTGTCAGATCTAATGTTCTAAACCAGTAAATTTCACCACGTTTAAGATTTTCAGTAGTTATTTTGCTATCACTAACCATATCTACTTTTTTTAATAAAACCCTTTAATAATATTTTTAATGGCAGAAGCATTTGTCTTCATTGCAATGACTGCATCTGTCATAAATAGAATGATTTTAGAAGTTTAAAAAGCAGGTCGTAGTTGTTTTTGTCCTGTTAGAGTACTTGCCATTCGGTTTTGCATAATTTCGTTTCCCAGCAAGTACAGTTGGATCAAACCTGATCTAGTGTTTGGTGGTTTTCGGAAATAAAGCTTTCAAACAATGTGAACAGATAAATGTTCAGCAGAATTCATAAATTCAGTAGAATTTCCCCTAAGTGCTCTAATCCCAGAAGTATTTGTGAAATGAGAGCCTGAAAATGAGTTTTTATTGGCTGGGACAAAAGTTCTCTAAAACTTGTTTTGCACTACACCACAAGCAAAGAATATGTGAATAATTTAAGAGGGAGGGAAGGTAAAGTTCCTTCTAATCCCCTTTTCCCCTCTATGAAAAGTAATTAGCAGTGTCTGTAACAATTTTTTTCATTAGTATTAGGAAAGTTTGGAATAAGCGTTTGTAAAATAATTTGAAAATGCTTTTGTATTTTGAAAAATTTTGAAAATACTTTTGTATTTGGAATAGTTTTGATAAATTCTTAAAAAGTGAAGATGTTTGATAAATGTCTGAGAGAGGGGTTAATTTAGGTAGCAATATAATACTTTAGTGATGATCACTGTCATATAACATTAAATAACTGTATATCCAGAGAAGTAAAATTAAGCCTTTACAGGTTTTTTACTAATGACAAGGGTTTTTTTTCATTGTTACACAGTATTAATGTCTAAAGAGATAAATTGATATTGAGATAACTAGATCTGACTGCATATGATGATGTGTAAAAATTAAGTGCGTGAATGCATCCTTACAGCCTTTTATTACTACTTCTATTCAGAACTGATTGCTTCAAATAGCTCATTATAACCTGTCAGTGGGGGAGAACAAGAATTCTGAGATGTTTTAAGGAAGATAAACAGGGCAAATACAAATAGACAGGCAAAGGAGAATTCTCAGGCACTGTATGCCAGCTATTTGGGTGATGCTTCTTTATGTGACTGGAAATTTTCACAGCATTGTGTGAAGCGTGATGCTTAATATCTCCATATAGGGGATTGTTTTAGTTCCCCAGCTTATATAATGAGAGAATAGCTTCATATTCGATTTAAGCTATTATTTTTTTTAAAAAACCACTGTAGCACAAATGCTTTTGTTAATTTTTGGATTACAACTCTTTTGTTCAAAAATCATTTTATGAAGGACTTGCAAATTTGAATGCTTTTACAAATTTTTTTTAATGGTTTTAAAAGCCCTTTTATATTTTAAAATTAACTTAAAGTAAATGCCTCATTATTATATTCTTACCTATGGGAAAAAATGGTTACATTTTTTCCCCTCTTCTTTCCGGTTTGGTTGTCACATAATTCAACAGGATCTGCTAAAATCGCTTTACAGTCAACATTTAGAGAGTTTATGAATGGAAATAAATTTTTCCTTTTATATTCAAGATTACTTTTAAAGAGGAAAATGAAAAATTCTATGCAAGTCTTTTCAGTTGTGCCATTGTGAATTTGGTTTTTTTGTTTTGGTCATCTACCGCACCTGCAGCTCCGTTCCTTTACTGTTGTGTCTCAGAAAACAAAGTTTTGATCTTGTGTGTAATTTTTGTTCAGCTGTTGAACTTCTTGAGCCTTTTTGGCAATGTAATATTCTTTTCAAGTAATATGCAGGCTACAGTTTCATGCTTAGTTGAAATTTAATTCTTCAGTGCTGAGTTGTTGATTAGAAAGCTGAAGAGTTGTAATTTGCTTGTGCAGCTTTGCTTCATCTGCTTTATACATAGCATCTGAGTTTAATTCTTCAATTATGGAAGCTACTTAATAGCACTGCTTTAGCATAACCCCCTTGTGGCTTTTTTTCCTGCGTGAAATAACTAAAGCTTTCTTATTTCCATTTGCCATTCATTTTTTAATCTGCTCTGCTCCCTCCCTCTTCGTGGATTATAAATCCCTACCCTTATCCTGCCTTTACACTTGTTCAGGATCACAGTCTGCTAACCCCATTGGTGGTAAGAGTCTACAGAGTTCATGTACATATCATTGTTTGATCACCTATTTGACATATCTCATTTAAGGACCCTATTCAGCAGAAATTCTGGCTGGCTTTTTTCCATATGCTGCGCACAACTTAATTGAGTGTCATCCTTATGTAGAAAGCAGGAGAGATGGGAAGGTTTGAAATAGTACCTTTGTAATCTTTCTTTCATCATTCAGCTCACTTAGATCTGCTGGTACTGGTAATATTGACAAGAGTATGCTTGTACTGCTACTAGCATGGTATTTTCAGGCTATTTAGCTGCATTCAGTTCGTTTACACTGCAGTGGTACACTTTGTAGATCAGATTATAGAAAGATTAAATAAAGTATTAGAGCAAGAGGTTGCATTTCTTCTGAATATTCTGAGAACGGTAAGTTTTTTCAGATTTCTGACCTACTGAAGAAAATGTACAAGTCTGCAGTGCAGTGAAACTTTCTACAATATTTTTACTGTTTTAAAGCGATACAAAACAGGGAGAAAGCTTGGTAATATCAGATCTAAGTTGAAATACCCTGGTATGAAGAAACTGTCAAACCCTTAATTTTTGCACATCACAGCAGTTTTATCGGTTTGCTTATTCTTCTGTTGCTATATTTTTTTCCAGGCTATATAATACTTTATTTATCATTTCTGCTGAATAGGTCCATTGTTTGGAAAAGGGATTTTGCTAAATAATCATTTCAAGTTTGAATTCAAACAATGCATCTGAAAAGTATATGCATGGTACATTTTCTTAGATTTCTCTCTTCCACCCAGCATATATTTTATTTTGTTTGAGATTTTGGTTTTTTCTCATATAGTCAAGCTTTTGTCAACTTGGATCTTTTTTTCAATGTGCCTCGTGAAAAGTTACCCATGAAATTCACTTGAAAAGTTGCATGTTGTCTGTAAATCTGGTAGCATAACTCTGGTCATACAGTTACCTGATTGTATTTTAAAGATTAATGAAAGGTTCAAATATGTATGAAATTAGTCTTTGGTTGAAATTCTATTTTGCTTCTTATTTATTTTATTTATTTCTTTCTTTATTGTAGCTGGAAACAATATATAAATATCAACTGGTGATATAAATCAGTTACAGCTGGAGAAGAATGAATTCTTTGTTTAGAACTTAGAACTTAAATGTTCTGTCACAAAATTAAAGATAAGTGACCAGAGTTTCTGGTAGTGATACAGTAGTATGTTGTAGTATGCAGTTTTATACACATACGTAGTATGTTATAATACACAGTTTTAATTAACAGAAATTTAAGACAAATATGTCTTAATCAATTTTTTAGCATGCTTAAAACTAATAGAAGATTTTCTGTAATTTGTGGGGTAACCTCCACAGAAATGTACATGAGTACTTTAATTGTCTTCAGGCACATTTTACTTAATGTCAGAATAGTGCTTGAAGACCCCATGCTTTTTTTAAGAGTTTAAATGTTAGGGAAATCACATTATTTAGTTAAAACATTGGTTGCATCGGAAGAGCTGGGATAATTATGAAATCCTGGTTTAAAGTTGCTCCCTTTAGCTTTCTAACAGGTTTGTTTTTCTTTATTACTAGAGAATGTCATAAGTGAGACCACATAGCTTAAAAAAAACGAACACAGGAGCATTCATTTTAGGGACGGTGGAACTCTTGACAAAGTCTACAAATAATAATTGTGGTTTCTTGAGCTTATGTAGTGCTAAATACCATGTCAAGTGCTTCCTTGCATTGATAATTTTAACTACCTTGTATGCAGTACTGTAAGAGCTCGGACCAAGGCAATCTATTTCATGCTTTTACCTTTTAAGTTTTTCCTGATCATTTCAATCTACCACCACCTTCCTACTAACTTACGGTATTATTTTCTTTTTAGCCACGCTTGTTTATCCACTGTGGTGTTACTAATATTTATTCATTCTGTCTTTAGCTGGCAGTAGATCTGGGTCTCCTGGAAGAGTTCTGACAACAACCACACTTTCAACTATGAGCACAGGAGTTCAGAGAGTGTTTGTGAATCCTGCAGCTGCACAAAAACGGAGCAAAATCCCACGAAGTCAGGGATGCAGTAGAGAAGCTAGTCCTTCTAGGTTGTCAGTAGGTAAGACTCACTAAATAATTCTTGGTTTTTTTATAGCCCTTCTTATTTAAGTGCTGGATATCTACGGCTGGTATTTAGTTATAGATGGATGAAAAGAATAGAATACAATGTAGAATGTAGCTCTTTTCTTAGACTAGTTTTTGATACACAAGACAGTTTTAAACTGAAGCTAAAATTTGAGGGTTTTTTTATTAGAATGTTGTAGTTGTTCTTTTCCTCACCTCCCTTTCTTCCTTCTCTTTTTTCACTTCTTGCCCAAAATAGCCATATCCTTTGAATGAAACTGTGATACCATTTGTAGAATATATTCTTCATTACTTCATGTCTTCTGTATGTGCACACATATAAATGTTACGATACTAGAATGAAAGTTACATGTCTTCAGCCTCACTGTATGATTCAATTACACTTTATTGCAGTGTTACTGAAAAACATCCGTTGATTTTAACAGTATTGATGCTGTTCTTCCTTTGTATTTTTTATTTTTATCCTAGCTGCATAACTTTTTTTAATTTTCCATCTTTAGAAAGTTGTGGGGTTTTCCATTGGTGCTACTATTGAGTAACTTGATCTTGAGCACAAATTCTGAATCATTACTCAATGTTACTTGCTTTTTCTCCATCCTTTCCAAAGGGTCTTTTAACCATTCTGTAAAGTATTGGTAAATTTCCATTTTAAGCTGTGCAAAGAAATAATTTCATTGAACTGGCTACACTTAGACTAATCTAGCACAATCAAGAAAGTCTGTAAAAAAGATTATGACTTAAAAAGAAACATAATCAATGTCTTTTCTTAGGAATGCATCTTTGATCTTACTGCAAAACAGAATTGCATTAAAACTTCAAATTTTCTTATGTCTTCTCCCTTCTGTGCTGCTGTTTGTCTGCACCCTGAATCATACTAGCGCGAGGCAGCCGCATTCCTCGGCCTAGTGTGAGTCAGGGCTGCAGCAGAGAGGCCAGCCGTGAAAGTAGCAGGGACACGAGCCCTGTCCGCTCTTTCCCACCCCTCGGTAAGTACTTTGAGTCCTTGTCATGCATGGCTGTCCCTGCCCTTCGTTACATGCAGCTAACAAATTCTGTGCCTCTTTCATTTAGCTTGTAGCTGGCTACTGTGTTCTCCCTTCCTTTGGCTCTCTCCCTACTTACCCCAGTGGAGAATAGACTAATGTGTGAATGGGCTGCACACGGGAAAAATACAGGCTTTGCTAGACTTAGTCTGAAATATCAAGTCTAGAGGGGTGTATGATGCACAGTGTCTAGATGCCATTTTGAAAAGGCACTCCTTTTTGAAATTACATATTTCTCTTTTCATTGCAGCACTCATTGCTTGGGTACTTAAGTGCAGGATCAGTTGTTGCTCAAAATTTTCTACCTAGTCAATGAATTATTTTAGTGTGTAAGGAGAAAATAGACTTGATTTTATGTCCCCTTAGCTAAATGGTCAGCAGCTTATTGGTCTGACACAAATTGCAAGGTTTTGCAAGATTATCAGTCTGTTTCTGAGATGTCAATGAGGCGTAAGAATATTAGTTTATAATTACCTTAATATGTTGGTTAAGGATTAGGGAAGGTTTTCATCTCCCATGTATCCTTGTCAAGGTGACTACATAATTGACAGTTAATTTTGCTTAAAGTGCTTTTACATATTGGGTTTGTGGATTGGGTTGATTTTTTTACTTGTTTGGTAACCAGATTGTCTCTGTGCAATTGAATCTAAAATAGATCTGGTTTTGGTGTTACCCTTGTCTGAAATAGTCTTCAGTATGTATCCTTCTTATTTGGCTTGTTCAGTGTAGCTACAGTTAAGGACTTTATAATGCTAGCTGTTAAACATAGTCTGAAAATAGTAAATCTCTGCTTTCTATCTCAAATTGAGGCACCCAACTATACTCTTAATTAGCACTGGACATAGGTTGTGGTCTGTTAGGGCTTCCTGCCAGACATGATTTTATTGGGAAAGTAGATTGCTTGAAAGCTATTTCAGTAAATAATGCTAGTTTGCCCAGATATTGTTTAATTTGAAAGTGATATTAAAAGTAGATGTTACGTAGAATCCGTTAAGAAACCTATATCTTTTTTCTAAAGCATAGATCGAAGATTGTGTTGAAGTACACATGTACCTTCTGTTCTTATAAAAATAAGCGTGTTTTGCAGAACTCTTTGTGCTTCTTTTGCTGCCTTATAGCTTGATTTCAATTGCACACAGGCACGATGAGATTTACATTTTGTAATTGGGTGACTGCTTGCTATCTTAAGAAGTCTATATTAGGCAATACCATGAGATGTGTTGCTGGGATAGATGCCGCTGGAAGTTTTATTCTTATTTAGGTAGTTCAGTTTTATAATTCAGGTATCAAAACAAGTACCTATACTAGTGAAATAGGTGGACTTGTCTGATAGCACAGAGAATACAAAGTAATATGTATAGGAATCCAGCACTGGTTTAAAAAAAAAAGAAGGAAATTATACTGGGAATAAATGAAGATTCCTTTTAGAATGACTTTTTATTTGAATGATTTAAAATGTCATTCAGTGTTTTTTTGGTACAAGTGAAAGATGAAATAAGGCAGATTCAGCTCTGTGTAGGGCTAGAGGCAGTTTGACATGGGAGTGAAGAGGGGAATGTAATTTCTATTATCTCTCATTGTCACAGAAATTTTTGCTTATGAGCACAAAATAAAATGGATTTTATCCCCCTTTAGGGTATAAAATTACCTAAATGCTACATAATTGCTTCACTGTATACATTGGTATGAAGTGTTTATGTAATCTCACAGCTCAGTATAATGTTATAAACTGGGAGATAAGAGCCATTAATTTACTTTCGTTAAATATAGTCAATATTAGATATCAAACTAGTATAATGTCCATATTTTAGCTAAGAAATCATCTTATTGTGAATCCATTTAAAGTCTTTTGATTCATCCTTTAAAAAAATGCAACAGCAAAAGAAAATACTTGACAATTCCTGCAATATGAGGGGAACAAAGAATATTCTTGAAAATGTGTTTTGGAATGAGGTATGTTTCACCCGATATATAGTGCTTTTTTTCACTCTCTTAAAAATTTGTCCAACATATTTCAAATGTATGTAGGGGCAGGAGTCATTTCATATTTCTTACCTGAAGTTTGACTATTTAGTTTTCAGCTGAATCTTTAATTTTCAGGGCTCATTGATGGGGAAGTAAGGGGAAGGTTTATCCCATTAATGCTTGTATTTAAAGAGCTGGCAGCTGTGATGTCATATTCATTTACATGGTGGTGAGTTTTTACTGAGGTTGAGTTGTCTGCAACATAGGCAAGAATTCAAGTTTGTAAAAGTCATCAGCTGCCAGCACAGCAGGTTTGTGCAGGAGGCACTTTTTGCAGATAATGTTTGATATGTGAGCTCTGGCTCTGACTTGAGCACACAGAATTTAGTTCAGTGCACAATGCAAGACCAGTGTCAGTGCACTAGTTAGTAACCTTTTAGGTATTTCTGATGTTTCTGTTTGTGTGTGTGTGCATGTGTGTCTGTGCACCTTTTCTTCTTTGAAATTAAACATACTTGCTTTTACCCTGCTCTGAATCTTGTAAATGAAAAAAAAATTATGCATGAAATGTCCAGAGTACATACAAACATGTATAATCATATTTGGTATAATCAAAGAACTTCTCTGAAGTTTTGCTTCTCTTTAATATTTAGTTTCTTGTGTTTAAGCTGCATCTTTTTATAAATATTCTCTTGTTCGTCTGAGCAGCTGTTGCAGCACTTTGATTCCATGGTCATAGATAGGGTTTATTTAATCCTATTATTGCAGCTTCCAGACATCACTCCAGATCTACTGGTGCCCTCTACGCTCCTGATGCTTATGGGGCCACAGGTGAAGGATGAGTACCCTTTGCTGTCATCTGTGCAGTCATCCTGGATTTTTTTCCCCCACCTACTTGGTTATTCTCATAGTTCAGTTTTAGAAAGCATTATTTATATTAATTTGAGTTTTGTGGTTTTAATAATGCAGATAGATGTGTTTATGTTGCTAGATTTTGTATCCACCCTCATCCCCAAGGTTAATCCTTCTTTCCTTAACATTTTTTTACTTGCAGAAGAACTTTTTTTAGTTTCCCATTTTTTAGTGTTTGTAGAGCATTCTTTATGCATGTAGTTTTCTAACCAACAGTCTCAGTAGCCTTCCTCTATTGTATTTGTTTTCTCTCTAAACGAAAACAAAAACCCAAAATGAAGAAGACATTAATCTTTTAAAAAAGCAAAACCTTTTTCAAATGAAACCATTGTTTTATAGGGGTTTATCCATGTGATGTTGGAACAGAATGTTTGTAGATGACTGGCTTTTTACTTGAATTTTTACTTTTGTATGTACCACCAAAGATTTCAGAATGAAAATGGTTATTTTATCCACTACATAATTTATTAAAAATGTTAAGCAAATTCTTTTCTTCTGCTTGGGTTTTTATAAGTGTTATTTACAACACAGCTTTCTATTGTGATTGAATTCTTTGTATTTATTTTTGTTGTTACAACAGGTACTGGCTTTGGAATTAGTCAGTCGAGTAGGTTGTCGTCATCAGTCAGTGCTATGCGAGTTCTGAACACAGGTTCTGATGTGGAAGAGGCAGTAGCAGATGCTTTGGTAAGAATCTCACACTTACGTTGTGTAGGTTACAGGCTCTTTATATGTATTTGGTTCTTGTACATTCAGACAGGAAACAGTCTTGGACTGTCATTTTGGGAGTGGCTCAAAGAGCCACTTGAGCAGGTAGAGCTAACCAGCAGTTTCTCACAAAAGCCATAAAACTTCACGATATGTTGAAGGCTTGTTAGAGCTGGGAGAAATGACAGCTAAAGCTCTACCTGAAGCCTGAGTGCCATTTAAAGTTTTTCTATCTGACAGCAGGTGAGATCGATGCTGAAGAGAGAAAATGGTAGCTGGGCAGCCAGGCCCCACACAGCCACTCTCTCTCTCTCCCACCACTGGCATGTCAGAGAAAGAATCAGGAGGGTAAAGGCCAGAAAATTTGTGGGTTGAGATAAAGATAGTTTAATATGGAAAGCAAAACCCATGCACCCAGGCTGAGCCAAACAAGGAATTGATTCAGTGCTTCCAATAGGCAGGCAGGTGTTCAGCCATCTTCAGCAAAGCAGGGTCCCATCACATCTGACAGTTACTTGAGAAAACAAATGCCATCACTCCAAACATCCCCCTCTTCCTCCTCCTTCCCCCTACTTTATAGACTGAGCATGATGTCAGATGGTCTGGAATGTCCCTTTGGTCAGTTTGGGTCACCTCTCCTGGCTGTGTCTCCTCCCATTCACCCCCAGCTTCCTGTCCAGCATGGCAGTAGGAAAAGCAGAAAAGGTCTCGGCTCTGTGTGAGCCCAGCTGAGCAATAACGAAACCTCTCTATATTATCAACCCTCTGTTCAGCACAAATCCAAAACATAGCTCCACACCGGCCACTGTGAAGAAAATTAACTCTAGCCCAGCCAAAACCAGCACAGCAGATAGCATCTCATAAGTTTAGTTTTTGTTTGCCTTTGTTTTCAAAACGTGACACTAAGTTAAAACTGGTTATGCCATTCTTTCGTAAGCTATACTGTTCTTTAAAGAGTAGGTTTGGCTCTTCTGCCTTCCTGCCCCATAAGCCAAACTGAACACATGATGTATTTTGCTATTCTGACATTTACATCAGCAAGCGAAATTTTCAGTTAATTTTAAATGGTGATGCTATGAATCAGATATATTTTTATGAATTACTATGTGCTATTTGCATATCACTAAATACTTGTAAGTACCGTTTTCTACTTACCAGAATGCTTTAAAGAAATGGTTATTTCTCTGGGTTAAGAGAAACTGTTCTTTTGAAAGTTAGTAAAAAACTACAAATTAGACTCTAAATTACAATCAGATATAACCGAATAGGGAGAAACGAAATATTAAGAACTCTGTCGTATTCTTAGTATGACTGTTTACTGATTTCTTGGTTAACACTTTTTTCTTGACATGTTAGTTTAAATTTTGTGTGCCTTCATTGACATAAAGATCAGAATATCAAGGTCATGGTGGAGTAGAGTGCATTTTCCCCTTTCTCTTACTACAAACTTGCAAAAGGTTTTCAGCATTAATGGTGAATGCCGCTTTGTAAACTGGAAGTCAGTCTGATTTTTGGAATAGGGAGCAAGAGAAAAACAGTCCATGAAGCATAGAAATTTTCTGGCTATAACTGGAAAGCCTGTGCTATATTCCTCTCCACACAGGTGCATTATGAAGAGTATCTTTAGTACTCTTAGCAGACTCCTAGTTTTCAAATTTGCTGGGCAAATTATGTAGTAAGAATAGAAGTTGAGGAGACAGTCATGTTTCCAATGACTGCTCTTGAGGCCTGAATGTGTCTCTTTTGTTGAAGCAATAAAGCTTCTTCAGAGAAACTGGATCCAAAATATCGTGATGCTGCTAGAAGTGTTAGAGGAGAATCAGTTTGTATATTTTAACTAGAGTCTGACATTACAAAGAAGGATCAAGAACTGCAGCATTTTATTGTAGTATTTGCATGCCTAGTTCCTTGCCATGCTCTAAATGGTACAAATTGTCCTGTACAAATGACTCCATGTAGATGGAAATCTGGTAATAAACACCCTTACTGTTCTATCATAGATTGACAATTCACACTCATAATGGTATTTTTAAAAGGCAGAATGTAGAATTCTGATGTGTAATATAAATATAAAAATATTCCAGATTGTGTGTTACTCTTTTTTATTTTATGAAAAATACCTGAACAGTTTTAGTGGTAGTGAAGCCAAAGAGGTGTCAGTCTTCTGCCTAAGATCTGTTTTGAATGTTGCTAGGTAAAATGCAGCAATAATGGAAATCTTTACATATATTTAGGTCTTTTACTTTAGTACCATTCTTCGCATTTCAGATTCATTTATTGAAAAGTCTTTTTTTTTTTTTTTTCGTTATGGTGACTCTTTTCCAAAACACTTAATATCTCCGTGGTTTTTCCCTTCAGTTTTTCTCTTACAGACGTATGTACACTGGTTCTGTTGTCAGTAAGCCTGCTTATTACCTATTGTATTGATTAGTTTGTGATTAGTATTGTGATGTCCTTGAAGTCATTCCATGGTTAAAAATGAGAACCCTGTGCAAATGGCAGTGGTAGTTAAGGGGAAAACGATCACTTAAACTCTGCTTCTTTGAGTATGTAAAGAAATAGAGTTTTTAAATGCTAACTTCAGCTCCAAAGTTTGAATGACAAGAGCTGTTTTGCAGAGGTGTGTGGTTTTTTTCACTTTAGGATAAATAGGGGGTTTTTTTCCCCTCTGATCTTTGGTATGCAGTGTTTTGTTTTGTTGGCTTGTTTTTTATTTTAGGAGATTTGGGATTTTGCATTATGTAATCAGTTTTTTTTATAGACCATTGACTGTAATTGCTGCAATGACAAAATTTAGATATTAAGGTTAAACAAATAATTCAAATCAAAGTTTTGTGCTTAAGTAACAATTGACTGCATGTGTTGTGTTAATGTGTTGATGCTCAAGTATCACTGCATAAGACACAAAGATTTTGACAGAGAAGTCTTTGTGACCAACCCACCTGCAATATGTAATATTTTCCTGGAAAATTAAGCTTAGTAAACTACTTCTTGACAATGTGTGATATGCTACTCAGACACAGAGAGCTAAGAACAAAATTTATGGTAAGACTATGTGTTGTCTAGTGGCAGGGAGTTTATTACTCACAGTGCTGCTATGCCTTATCTTCCTGTTCTCAATTTCTGTTTCTTTTCAATAATTTACTGCTAACAGCTCTTAGGAGACATGCGGACTAAGGTATAGAAACTATTTTTCTTCTTCAATAGTTTAATATTTTGCTCTTAAGATGTTTGATAGAAAATTATTTAAAATGTCAAATTATGTGTAGACTCTGATTCTTAAATCCTGCACCATATATAATGCTATGAAGTGAAATAACTAACTTGCAAGAGTCTTTTGTCACCCTATTATGCAATTTTATGGGTTCTCGAAAGAAGACCTAAAGCTAAATGTTTCATCAAATGTATGTCTTCTATGCATTTGCTTTGGGTTCATGTTTGGAATACTATGTAAGCCATACTTCAGAATATTTTTCATTAACTTGGTTTTATGTGCTGAATGGTTGGAGCCATTTGTCACTGCAGGGAGTAGGGGTCACACCAGTTATTTAAACTGTTGGTCTTTCGACCCATTATGGGTATATTGTATTATCTGTTTGAGAATCCGTGCTGATCTGGGGTGTCTCTGTACAATAGAAGAAGCCTGTGCGAAGAAGATATGAATCATATGGGATGTACTCAGATGATGATGCCAACAGTGATGCGTCAAGTGCCTGTTCAGAAAGGTCCTATAGCTCCAGGAATGGGAGCATACCGACGTACATGAGGCAGACAGAAGATGTGGCTGAAGTCCTGAACCGCTGTGCCAGCACCAACTGGTCAGAGAGGAAAGAAGGCCTTCTAGGCCTTCAGAACTTATTAAAGAACCAGAGAACTCTAAGGTAGGATGACATCTTAATAGGAGAAACATCTTGTTTCCATGTTATTGGAAGGCAGGGTATGTCTTTGAGAGTAAGATGCGGGAAGGAACAAGGAAGCTTTTCTCACTTCTGGCTACTACTGTATATTTATATACTAGTGGATGTAAGGAATTCAAAATTGAGAATTCTTATGATACAGAAGGTTCATAAGATGCTTCCATCTACTATCAATGGAAGACTTTTTTTTAATTACTATAATTTTGGGGTATTTATTCAGAAGGAATTGTTTACTATCACTATTATGAGCACCTTTTTCTGCTTTGTTACAAAAGTATGGTATAATATATGAGACAGTTTAAAGAGACATTTATAGGTTTAAAGTCTCATTATAGATGAAAGCTACTACATTTTTACCCATGTCTGGAACAAAACAGTTTCCTCTACTTAATTTACTAGATTATTTGATTCAGTATTTACTCTCGATTTCATTGATTGCTATGCATTAGTGTTCTAGCAGAACTAGCAAGGGAGTTGACTAATGTATTGTTGTTTTGACAGTCGTGTCGAGTTGAAAAGATTGTGTGAGATCTTCACAAGAATGTTTGCTGATCCTCACAGTAAGGTGTGTGTTAGTTTTTCTTATTTTCAATAAATGTCTGAAAACGTAAATTAAAAGAAAGGCAATTATAGTAAATTGATATTTACATATGTAAAATTTCACAAGCAAAAATAGTTTATGATATCAGATTTCAATTAATTTAGAGTTTTGAACAAGATCATTTTCCTTCTTTTTCTTCAGATTCATGGAAATAAAGTGAAGGTTAATGTAATATAAAATGCGTTGAAGAAGTTCAATGGTTTGTGCTCAAAATCTGTGTTTTTAAGAAGTTGTTGTTTACAGAGGCCACTTCAACACAGATTTTCTCTCAATCAGAAAAGGGTTTGCAGTAATTTAAGTTACAAATAAAGTTGTCTAACTAAATCATACATAATCAGATAAACGATGCCAAATGTGTACTTTTGTATTATTTTCCAGGACATTTTGTATTATCACAGCTTATGATGTCTTACATGAATTTCGTAGGCAGGGCTGGCAGTTGAGACTGGTGAATAATTTTTACATCATTTTTTTAATACTTCATAAGGAGACTGTGCGATAGAAGGCAATGTGACTTTTTTTTCAGTTTTACTTAGGTAAAGACTCAGTATGGATGATAGAACAAGGAAAAAAATGCTTCTGTTTTCTAAGACTATTAAAATCTTTTAAAGTGAGTCACTTTGCATGGTAGTATTTTTACAGTTTTTGTGGGAGATGGGTTACTAGTACAGCTTGATTAAATGTTGCAATTTCTCATACCAGAAGGAATGCAGGTAAGTAAGGAACCTAATAAATGTAATAATATTAGAAAAAGTCATAAATTTATATTTTATTTAATTATAGGCCTACTTGGAAGAAGTGGTTCCTTTTATGTTAAGTATAACATGTCCCACTTTGTGTCCATATTTCAGAATTGATAAAATTATAAAGATAAATTCTTAACAGGGTATTACTTCAGAAGTATTGACTTTCCCAGAAGAAGCCTGAAAAACTATTTTGATTATGCCATACATTTTACATATTTTTAAGTCTTCCTTATTGCTGCAATGGAAAATTAAATTCAGAGTAATGAGAGGTCTTGACAGGTTAACTTGGGGTTCATCTGGCCTCTTTATTTGTCCTGTTGGAAAAAGTTACTTAGCTGCTGTCTCTGACACCATGTATTTTGGAAATAACTTGCATTGCAAACAGCAACATGATATTAAAGTTGATCACATACTGCAGAAATCCAGAAAAAAAGACTAAACCAAGCAGTTAAAAAGAAGAAAACATTACATAAAAAGAAAAGTCGAAGCAGAGGAAAGAATATTAAATACTGAAATATTGCTGGAATATTTAGTTTTTAAATTAAGTAATGACCAAATTGTTAATAGCAGCTTGGTTTAATTGTGGTCCTTCTCTGGTAATTAATATTGCAGCAATGCATATGGCAGAGCTACTGTCGAGATTTTTGTGTAGCATGGGAGCCAGAGATGGATAAGTTAAATGTTCCAAACTTTAGTTGTATATGTCAGAAGAACATTTTACCTTTTAAATAAGCCTTCAAAAATGTTACATTGATTTTTTTTCTAGCTGATTGTTCTGTTTACTGACCACTGTGATATGAAATAGTGTGGCTTCAAGTTTGAAAATTTGGCCTGTGTTGTAACCTGTTGGTACAGCTGTTCCAGTCACTGAAACCTTGCCTGCTTTTTGGTGTTGCAAAACTATTAATAGTTATCAATATGTTATCAGGAGAATCCTTTAAGTATTAAGAGTTCATGAGATTTTTTTTTTTTTCGATCACATACATATGTCTACATAAATCTCATCTTAGACTCTACTCAGGTGTCTGTAGGAGTTACTCTGTCACCATTTTTGGGGGGTTTTATATGGTTTACTTAACTTGGTATCTGGATGGAGGGAGTTACACAGAATGAGTAATAATATTTGGAGGAGAAAATGGGAGAATGACTTAAATAGCATGCTAAGTGCTTATTTTAAAAATAGATTGGGTATCCCAATGAAATTACTTAAATTTGTTATAAAAGTTTTAAAGAACCTTTTTTGTTTTATTTTGGTTTGTATTCCTTACAGGAACTTTGTATTGATGGCCACTAATTTGTGTGTTTTTATCTTTTTCCCTTTTTTGTTGTTTTGTTTTGTTCTGTTCTGGTTTTGTTTTGTTTTGCATGCTGTCCCCTGTGTTGGAACTCTCTTTAGAGAGTAAGTTGGTTCAATATTTGTTGGAAGCCTAACCTTACTTGCATGGATGTGCAATTAACCCCTTTTCTCTGTTTTTCTTCCCCAAAGAGTTCATGCAGTGTCAAGCCTTTTGCAATCATAAAATGATATAAACGATTAGTAAAATATGTGGTAAAGTTTCAAGATGTGCTTTATCTACTAATTAACTGACATTGTTTGGTTATGCATTCCTGCTTTATATTGTGGTGGTTGGCACATCTGAAATAATTCACTTTAGAAGTAGATTACTTATAATTATTTCTGTATCTGTTTATTTTTTCCACTGTCAAATTATTATGAAATTCAACTTTAGATGGTTGATTTCAGAATTTTAGGTTGCATCATAAAAACGGAAACTGCAATTTTTGCAGTATCCACATACATTCTTCAACATATAGATGATTGAGTTCCATTTTCCATTCCAAACTCATCCTTTACCTTAAATACTCTTTCAGTCTTCTTAAATTCTTCATATTGAGACAAAATGATATGTTTAGTATTTCTTTTTAAATGCAACAAAATTACCGGGCTTATTTTTCTCTAGACATTCTCTGTGGTAAATCTAAAATGAAACAAAGCTTGAAAACAAAGCTGAGTCCTCAGTTATGTGTATTTTTAACAGCTAAAACATCAGCACAGGATCTTCAGAGTACCTTTGCCAAAGTGAATCATAATTCACTTTATGATTTCAGTTTAAGCCACTTTACAAGTTTGAAGTGTCATGAGAAATCCATATTACTCCATCAAGTCAGAGCTTGTAACCAGTTTGTTCGGCCTACCATGTTTTAATGGAAAAGCCATGTGTGTCAGTGTCTGCAAACTCAAAGAAACAGGTGCAGGTTTAAATTCTTCTGAGCTGTGTAGATCAGTTTGAAGGATTTTGTGAGACACCCCCCCACACACACAATGTAATCTTTATCGCGCCAGATCTTGTTTGCTTGTTTGCCTAGATATATTTTCCGCCTTACTTTAGGGCTATGAAAGCCAAAGACTTCATATTACAATACAAAAAGTGCACTGATTTGATTTTGCCTCTGTCTTATAACTGTGGCTACTGCTTTTGAATCCACAAAATTAGGTATTGTTTCAATTTATCCTTAGACAGAAGATGTTTCCAGTCCTGCACAAAGAAGTCTTTTCCCACTACTGGTAGGGTAATTCTGAAACCTCAGACTTGAATATAGATCTATACGGACAGTACAGAAGTTGGCAATTTTTTCCCCCGATTTTTAATGTAATTTGTCCAAAAAGGGAAGTTAATTAAATTAGCTATTCCTGATGGGTTTTATATTGAGTAGGGGTTTGTATTGTTTTGTTTTTAACACATATTTTCAGTATTTAAGATATCTACTAAAATTTTTTCCCAAGTCTCCAGTAGATCCTGAAAGAATGATGAAATAGCTGGTTAAAAATTAACCTCTAGGATGATCTGGTCCAACCTTTCTTGATACAATGAATCTGAATTTATTTTTTATTTCTTGTGTAAATTTGGAGGCACTTCTTTAAGAGATACTTGTATCTCTTGTATGGATTTTTTTCCACTTTATGGTGTGAATTTGCTTTCCCTGACTTGATGATCAACATGAAAAGCAATCGAATTTCCTCAGCAAAGAAGGCATGCAACAGCATATGCCAGCTCCTCCTTACTTGCATCAGTGCTGTGGAAGAAAGTCTGCTTCCATGGCTTCGTGTGTGCAGCTGTGTGAGGTGTTATCACAGTTTGGGGTTTTCCACTCTCACAGAAGCAGCAGAATATGACTTAATGACAAGTCAGGTCAGCTGCAGGAGGATTTGGGTTTCCAGCACTTGCTCTGCGCCAGCCACTTCTAGCCTTGCACCCATGTCATAAATACTCAGGAGACAATATCTGCCCAACCCTCTTTGCACCACAGCAATACTTCTGTACCCAACTGTGCTGGAGCATATGTTGTGAAGGAGCCTTTTTCTGCCCAAACACCCTTTTTTCTTCCCAGAGAAACAGGAAACACATGGGCCACACAAGTATAGAGTGTATACATCCTGATTTCACTCTTAGGTCCGGAAAAAACTTAAAATGAGTGATACATATTAAAAGAGCTTTTTAAACAAAGTTACCTATTTGTCACGCCCTCTTTGACCCCTTCCCTCCAAAAAACCATTCTTCCTGGTGTGAGTCGAGTTAAAAAAATACATGGTTTTGGTGCTTTTGGTTTTGGTTTCGGTTTTTTTTACATGCTGTCTTTTCAACATTATTTGTTGAAAATAAGACAATGGACATTGTTATGAAAGTACTTCCTATGTTTTAAACACCTGGCAATCTGAAATCTAGTGTGGCTTTTTTCACTAATGTGATGAATAATTTGGTGTTGGGATACCTGCAATAGCAGAAGACGCTTGTTCTGTTCTTATAAGTATTTTATGTAAAGGAATTGGCTAGCTGTCACCATTTTGCAGTATTTAGTAATGCAGATACTTGCAATTAATATTTTGCTAAAGAATTGTAGCAGCTTTTTTGGTTTTAAAGATAAAGTGTTTTTGTAGTCTTTGAGGAATATGACAAATCAACTTAATGATAAAGCTTGAAAGGGTAAAAAATTAAGTTTTACTGGAAAAATTGAGGTTGCGCCAGCCATCACAGTAAGCATTCCTTTTCTTGATGAAACTGCATGGAATACATAGTTGTCAAACTTCTACAGAAGTCGACTAAGATTTCCAGTGTACTCTTATATGAAAATCCAATGAAAAAGCAAGGCAGATTTCTTTTCCATTCCTCTTTTCTTTTTTCCTCGCTTGGCTGCAAAACACTGCCTTTCTCTGCCTCTGATTCCCTTACTGCTTTCTTCATTTGTAAGTTCAGCATATGTCAATGTCATTCCCTCTTTTGCCCCATCCTACCCTCTTTCCACCTTCTTCTGCCTTTTAGGTGTTCAGTATGTTTCTGGAGACACTGGTCGATTTCATCCAGGTCCATAAAGAAGATCTGCAGGACTGGCTGTTTGTACTGCTGACACAGCTGTTGAAAAAAATGGGTGCTGATTTGCTTGGTTCTGTACAAGCAAAAGTTCAGAAGGCACTTGATGTCACAAGGTAATGAGCTCTTAAGAAAGTAATGATAATGTAATTGTTAGCTATTTTCAAGGTTTTCTGCTGCTTTTATTTTTTTGCTGTGCTATTTAATTTCTGCAAGATGCACAGCTCACAGCACATCTTGAAGCTTTAGTAAACCTTGTTGCTTAAGCATTTTGGTTTCATAAAATGACTCTTAATTGAAAGGGTTTGAGTCCTCAGTGCTGAACAATTAATATGATACTACCTACCTGATTCCAAAATGTGCATCTGAGCGGTGTATGTTTGTTGTCTCGTCTTATGTTCAGTGATGTAGAAATTGTGTTTGAACTTCTTTATTTTGCTGTAAAAGTTTGACTGGAATATTCATCTCTGTGTCAGCATTAACTTTTAAGGAGTTATGGTAATAATGGATTTGCTTTCTGTCTCCCGTCCTTCTCCCCAGACTTCACTAATAGCCTGATTTAGAATCAGAATTCTAGCATGTCATTATTGTATCATTTCACATTAGTTGCATTATCTATTCTAGCTACACTTGCTTCATAACAGTAATTCCTTAAATCTTGTCCTTAACATGCTAGGTGAATGTTTCTGAAAGGCCAGATACACTGGCAACTGGTAGCAATTTCAGCTTTGCTGAGAATGGTGAGGGCTAATTTGGTGCCTCTCAACAGTTCTTAAAAGAAAATTTAACATAACATTATTTTCTTTGTTTACAGGGAATCTTTTCCAAATGACCTCCAGTTCAGTATTTTAATGAGATTTACTGTAGACCAGACCCAAACACCTAGTCTGAAGGTAAGACTTTTTAGATTTGCTTTGCAAGCAGAAATCATCATTAATAGAAATATTCTCTTAATTTTTGAATTTGGATTGTTATTTTTGCTTAGTGTAAAAACAAAGAAAAAAAAGATTTTCAATTGGTGGATTTTTTTTTTATAAACTTTCAGACAGTCAAGCCAACACTGCAGGACCAGCTTCACTCTTTTTGGAGCTCAAAGGTTTTTGTCTGAATTACTGTCTTTATTCTTAACCCTCTGTGAAACTCTGTTTCCAATAATTTTTATTTGAATGCGTTGTATGCTGCTACTAACCTTTGCGGGAAACTTTAAGCATGCAGATGCTCAGTTTTAAACATGACATTAGTATGAAAATGTTTGCTGCAAGAGAGATCTAATAAAAACACAGTGCAGTAAAAATGAGCAACAAAAATGTGGCTGTCTAACATCAAGCTGGTTATGCAAACTCACTCTAAGTCTTCTCTAATTTTATGTTTGTGATTTCCCATACTTTTTTGACTAGTTCATATATATATTTTCATGTGTTCAGCCTGATAGACCTTGAGTTATTTTAAATTTTTCTAATATTTATGTGAAATTGAATTACTATATTGATAATCATCTCTTTCTGTGGTACACTTTACTTCTCTGAAAGCAGTGTGTAGCTTTATAATTGTACACACATTTTTACCTAAGAATCTGCAGTCCATAGACCTCCCAGATGTCTGAAAAGTAAAAATGTATTCTGTACTACATTTACAGTTCCAAAGAGTGTTGGTTTTAGAACAAATACATTAAATCCTAGGAAAATTTATAAATAATGAGAATGGGGAAATAACAAGCATGTGATACCTGGCAACTTCTGCTCTATCCTGCACGAAATATTTTTACTCAGTTTGATACTGCACAGGCATATGACTTTTCTAGAGTTATGTTGAACTTAAAGTCACATGAATATGCCTTTTTTTGTCTACAATACAGTAAAACTTATATTTTTAAGCTTTTGAGGACAGTTGATACGTTGACCACTTCATAGAGCTGTGTTAAAAAGGGACTGCTGTCATTTATTGAAGACAGCAAATGAGGTAGTAAAAATCAGTTTGTTGTTTAAATGAATTCTTGGAACACATTGAGACTGGTTTTATTTTACTTGGTTTTCCTCCCCAGGAAGATGAATTTGATGGTTGAGATGTTCCTTTTTCCATACAGTAGTGTATAGCTGTCAGAGTTGTATCTTGCACATTTCAAAGCTAAGAGTGTAGATTTGGAACAAGACATAGACTTCTACTAGGCTGAGATGGGTCTAAGTTCAAGATTATTCCCTAAATGGCCTAGAAGGAATTCAGAAATATGAAACACTTGATGAGAAGACATTCTGAAAACAATTTTGAGAGGAAATTCTGAAATCAAGATGAAGCTGAAAGTTGTCTCCATAGAAGAACACCTGTTAGTTTAAAGCAAAATCAAGAATATTTCAAATTAATTTTTGAGACAGTAAATTATGTAACTGTTTAAGAGAAGGTAAGCTTTTTTTCCCAGAAGTGGCATCTGCCCACTACTTCCTTTTTATGTGGTAACTACAACTTCAGGATTCAGACAGTAAAGTTATTGCCCACAGATCAGAAGTATATTTAATATCCACATTATTGAGAATTTTGCCTAAATCTCATCTTCAGTGCACCCATACAGAATAATTGATATAATCAATTGAATAATTGATGTGATCAAAACCCACAGAATAATTGATAATCCTGGAGGATTACTCCAGTTCTTGAAGTCTTGAGCTTTTGTTCTTTGATAAATTATTATCTCATTGCTTTTCTTCTGGGAATACTGAGAAACAGCATTTGCTGTGACAGAAAAAAGAGAAGGGATTTTCAGCATCCCTAAAGATGGTCAGATAGAAGGAGGGATGGTAGATCAGAATTTCGAGCTGTGCAACAATTCCCTTCTACAAATGACGTTTTCCTCTGTTTTTCACATGATAGTAGTAAATGATCCTGATCTTTTGGAGTAAACTGTCATTGTCATTCTTACGCTTAGAAAGACAACTAAGTCTCAGACAATAAAATTTGAGCTTTTAGAGTGGCCACAGAGGTGGGTTTGGATAGCTGGGCACTAAAAAGACCAACCATTGAGAAGATAGAATTCTACTGACCTAATCCGTGGAGGATGCAACTTAGTGTACTGTGCTACATCTCTCATACTTCTGCAGTCATTTTACACTTAAGTGTAGTGAATTGCTGAGACACAGTTTAGAGGTGCCAGATGTATATGTCTGTTTTGGTCAAATGTTTGAATGAGCATAGGAGTCAAAAGTTCGAGGTGAGATATAGTCTATTTAGTTTATTTTTGCAAGTGCAAAACATACGGTTTCCAAAGGATGTGTATTGTCCTGAAATACACTTCCAGTGATCATTTTTCTTGGGTTTCATATCAACTCAGCCTCAATGTGGAGTTGATTTAAGTATTGTGACTAAAGGTCAAGTTTCTGAATCCTTCTTTACTTTAAAAATACTGATTTGTTGACAAAGCTTTTTTGCCACAGTTGTTGAGAAGATTTCTATTTTAACCTAAGTCAGTATTAAAATTTCTGGATCAAAAAAAATACCCTGAGTAACTCAGATTCGTAACTATGAGAGAGCCCACCATTTTAGTCATTTGGTTATATAATGACACGGGCAAACACTCCTAATTATTCAGTAACTTAGAGACAGAGGCCTGTGATGTGGCAGTCTGAAAGTGACAGTATTGAACAACTTTATAGAGAGCGGTTTCAACTTAACACAAATATTCATTGTAAGAATTCTGAAGATGCTTTCATTTCAGTCCAGAAGTTTTTCTCTCAGAAAGATTAAATGGTTTATTGAAGAGTGAAATAGATTATTGAAGATGTCAGCCTTTTTATTTCTAAATTTCAGTTCTGTACATAGTTACTGCAAATATTGGCAAAGATACTTCTAAAGTAGATTTGCTGCTCTTATGAAGTTTTACTTCGGCATGGGGTTTTTAATCTGTAATAATATGGGCTAGTATATATGACCACGGAAAGGTATAGCCCTTACAGAATTTCTTATATCAAAAGTAATTTGTAAAAAATGCCTTTTCTCAAAACAGTTGTCAAGTTTAGCTTTGGGAATCTGTGTCACTGTGAAAAACTCTATTAGTAAGAACTCCCTCCATTCATCTTCTGTTCAGTGCTGTTCTGTTTGAAAGCCTCTGTCTTTACAGAAGTCTGTGCAAGTTCCTCAGGAAGCAGTTCAAACACTAAATTCTGCTCTCTCAGATACAGTACTTCAGATTCTCTTCATTGGGAGAAATACCTCTGGGTGTTCGAAGTGTTACAGTCCTTAACAGCAACCTTTTCAAGCCTTACATTAGATTCATTTAAATCCTCAACAGTTAAATGTAGTGGTGTCACAATGGTTTCCCTAATCTAGAAATGTCAATTTTTGCTTTAAATTTGGAAAGCCATGTGGCCTAAGGTTTTTTGCTGCAGAGATGATCATGGCTTGTTTTTCCTTGGAAAATTGCTAGCAAATTGTATGCATTTGTGGATATTGATCTGCATAAGATGAAAGCCTTCAGCTGCTGCTTGGTATAACATCAGAGAAGTTGAGCATTAACAGCTGCTTTGAAAATGAAGTATTCGTTATTAATCCTCATATGTATGCTAGTGTATCTTGAGTTTTTAATAGCTTGCAAGTTTTATAACCAAGAGAAATTTCTAAATGGCTTTGCTCAGAACGTTTGTACTGCAAACCATGAACAACCAGAAATACACCCAGAACTCTTTTACTCTCTGGTTTGATGGACATAGGTCTCTCCCTCCTGGTAGGTATTTTTGGTTCACTGTCATTGCTAGTGGAAAAAAAACTAGCTAAATCTGATAGATGTCTTTCGTTGACAGATTGAGTGACAAATTTGAGGCAATAGGAGCTGAGGAAATAAATGTTTTAGACATATACAGGTGTAATAGCCCTTTTCCCAAAACTGTGCAGTGGTGCAGTATTGAAGAAACCAGAGAAAGGCTGCAGTCTGGGATTCTGCATAAGGAGTAAAACAAGTCTGTGGAGTAAGAGAATGATCAGATAAATGAGAAAGTACAGGAGGTTTTCTGTCCTCCAGGTAAATCCATGTCTCTGTCATCTAAATATATTCAAAACAAAGTGTGCATGGCTGTCTTAAGTATTTCCTTGAAATTCTCTTCCATACATTTATGGTATTTAATGGGAAGATTCCTGTGACTTATTTCCAGAAACTGACTGCTCAGCCTGTTGTTTTATGAAAAAGCACTGAGTGTTAACTACCTGATAGGAGCTAGTAAGAAGTGATCATTGGTTCATCAGATGATGTTCATTTTTCATTTTAGTACTTGAAAAACTTCCTTAATTATTCTGAATGAATATTTTCTTCATTTCTTTTTTTTTAATATAAGCTTCTGCATATGCAATGATACGTCTCTCAGTTGCTAGCAGTGAAATATAAGCTTTCTATGAGTATTTGAATTTCTGTGGAATAACTTCCTTCTTCAAATGTTAAATCCACTTGTAAATTGTTTTATTACAAAAATATATTAATGCTGAAAACATGTGTAGTTGAATTGGAAAAAAAAATCTTTATTTTAGGGAATGAACACACTACTCTGTGAGCTCAGTTGTTCTTGCAGCGCATCATTTTTATTGTCCACCTGACTGTTTCTCTTTGCAGGTCAAAGTTGCAATCCTAAAGTACATAGAAACTCTTGCACAACAAATGGATCCAGGAGATTTCGTAAATTCAAGTGAAACTAGGTTAGCAGTGTCTCGAATTATCACCTGGACCACAGAACCTAAAAGCTCAGATGTTAGGAAGGTATGTTTGTTAATGTGTCCTTAGAATTGCAGAACATTCCAGGTAATTAAGAATACTTAAGTAAAAAAATTTAACATCTCGAAACTCTCCATTACAGTTGTGTTTTTATATATATTAGTATGCTGAGATTCTGTTTCATAGTGTATCATTCTTCATTGCAAGTACTGTTTAGTACTAAAATCTCTTCACTGGTCATTTTTTGTACAGTTTTAATATTACTTCAGAGACCAGCCCCTGCGATACTAAGTAGCATATTTGTAACAGGAGTGAGTGGTAAATTTGGTAGCAAACTGAGTCTACAATCGGTTGGATTTTCTAGAGTCCTTTGTTTTTAACAACAGCTATGTAGATAAGTTGAACCTTGGACAAAGGAAATTTGTGCTTTGATAAGGTAGTATCATAGACTTATTCTTGCAATGCTGCACTTCCAGTGCGAACCTCCCTTTTCCACATAATTATGTGAAGTGAAAAATAACATTTGCGAGCTACACAGATATAGCAGGGCTATTAAATAACCGTAAGAAATGTACTATGCAGTCTTTGGAAACGGTTTCTAAACAGTGCTTCAATTTGTAAAAAAACTAAAAAATCTTTTAATTTTATATGCAATTTGACAGAATAGTTGCTCTGATGGTTACAGGTCGTGCTGTGTAGTTTCCACTTCCAGCATATTAACCCTACAAAAATGTTGTATCTTACATGGTTCCTCAGTGCAAGTGTCTATGACACAGAGAGCTAACTCTTCTCTCTCTTTTTCTGTCTATTTCTGCCATTTGAAAAGCTGCAACAGTTGTTGAGATTTGTTTTGCAACTTTCAATTAAGTTTGAGTTTTGGCAGGTTCATCTTTTCTAGAAAGAGCAACTTTCTTTGTTTAGGAGTGATGCAGGAGAAAATAGTAGGAGCTATTAAAAACTGCAATGTGAAAAAATAAATAAAAATAATTTACAAGACTTGGTATCTAGAATGTTTGTAATACATAATAAAAAAAACACCAGAGAGTTTTTATACTGGAGGTAATGTTTTAGTCATTTGCTTCTTGTAAAATGTCATGAGTTTGAGAAAACAGTAATAAATTACATCCAATGAACTTTTCTTGCCTGAATATCAAGTTCCAGTAACATATAAAAGCTCATAAAACAGGGGGAGATTTGAAGCAGCACTATCTTTTAAATCAGTGAAGTTTTAGTACTAAGACACGTGGCAAACTGTTTTATCTGATGGTTTGTAACTCTAATAAGTATTTTTATATCAATAAGTAACTGAATCATGGAAAGAATCACCAGTGAGTTAAATCATCTGGACCACTTTAATTATGTAAGTTTCTGGGTTTTATTTTTTCTTTCCATAGCACAGCTCTTTGAGGCAAGTAGCTGCAATAATCCTTTAGCTCTTGAAATTAAAATGTTGCCAATAAGAAGTCAAATGAGTTATTCTGATAGTATAAAATGTTTAATTCTCTTAACAGTCTTCTCAGCCTGCTATCACAGGCTTTTTATTTTTATTTAGTTTAATAAGCTTTATAGCACTTTGTGTGAGTTCTTTAAATTAAAAACTTTTTCTGTATTATTAATGGGTTTGGTTTTTTCCTTAGCAAAAACAGTTGCCATACTAAGTATTATGAAAAATTCTCATTAATTAGTCTGAAATTGGGCACTCTTAGTGTAGTTCACTGACATGGGACTTCTTTCTGGAAGGTAAAATTCTGTTTCAGAACTTAGATTTCCTCTAAGATTAGACTGCTTCTGGAAAGAGTTTTAATCTATTCTTAGAAATCTTCTAAGAAGAAAGCAAAACCAAAGAAATATTTCTAATCCTTATTTCACTTTTTTAAAGATGATCCCTATGTAAGTGAATTTAAATCTCCGGAGAGACCTTATGCTGGGGAGAATAAAAACCTCCAAATACTCTAAAAGCCAGGATTTCTTTGGCGAGGAAGAGAGAGAAAGTAGTTAATTGTGTTGAAAACCTTCTGCAATCAGTATCAATTTTGATACTTCAGGGAGAGCTTAATTTTAGGCAGACTTGATGGTATCAGTTTGTATCCTGATACAATCCTGGACTGTCTATTGTCTTCTCTTAATAGCAGCTTAAATAAACACAGTATTGAGGAGTGGAGACTGGCTAACCAGACAAATGAAAATGATGATTCCCAAGCATCTGCTCAGCTGCTGGATTTGTCTTGGTTTTGCTTTGTGTCAATTTTGATTAAAAGACTGACCATTAAAAATTAGAAGGACAAGACAAACATCAGGCAGACTGCAGAGGACATTCAGGGTGATCACTTGAAGGAAAAGCTATCAAAGGGAGGAGGAAATAAAAGTTAAAGGAAGCAACCAGTCAGGAGTATGCAAAGATAATTTGTGGCAATCTGACATGCTAGGATTTTTGTTGTTAATACTGAGATATGTGCAAGTATGCGTGCTCACACCTTGGCTTTCCACTTTCAATTAAAAAATGCTACAGTTCATTGCTCTGGAAGCAAAAGGAGGGAAATGTCTAAAAGAATTTTCTAAACTACTTGCTTGGAGTGTATTGGTGGTTAAGCAAGCTGCTTATTATTCTGTCTAGCGTGAGGTACTGGTTCTCTCCAGCACATGGCAGATCTTGATAGTGAGCTGTGTAAACTACACATAGTTGGTTAATCTTACAACCACAGTCTTTTGCTACAAATAAGTAATTCTGGAGAACTTCCTCCAGCTCTTCTTTGCCCTTGTTAGTTTAGTTCCTATGTTGACAGGTGTGTTACACTATCCAGTGAATGTTTGTCGAAATGTACTATTAAGTCATTCAATCAACAATTCCAGTGCTAGAGGGAATCCATCTATTATGTAATTTACTGTGTTGCTTTGTCAGTAGAGAGAGCTCTTTTTTTTTATTGAGGTAAAAAAGTCCCAGCATATGTAAAACATGCTGTAGGATGAAGGTGATGGTAAAGATGAACTGATTAAGTTGAGAGTATGGAAGGTGATATCCAGGACAAACTACTCCACAGTTTTCATCTTCAGAATATGTAGTCAGCTAAATTTCATTGCCCATTATGTCTTCCTACCTTTTAGAAAGGTTAAAGGAAGCAGAGGCTAACTAGCTGGGCTGTAGGGAAAGTTATAAGGAGTATCAAGTGATCACCTGTGATCACTACTGTCTCATTCCAGATTAGGGTATCTTGTTTGGTTGGGTTTGTTTTCATTTCTACAGTGCTAACTGTTCCTTTTCAAGCAAGTCATCTGTAATTACCACTTGCCGAACTCAGTAGAAAGGATCACATACTTGCTCCTGCCTGGTGTGTTTCATTTCTCTCTCTAAATTTTTTCATCCAAACTCTTAAAGCCATTTTGCAAATTACTGGGGGTTTTTTTAATGAGTAAGAATGTGGGGCTAGTGGGGTTGAAAAGTGTGTTTCTGAAAGACTTTAGTTACAATGATAGTTGTGTACCTGAATTTATCAAAATCAGAACTTCCAGCTTACCAGCAAATATTAATTGCTTTTGTTCATGTCTGTTAACATCTTTATTCAAGCTTGATCAATACTTGAGTCGTATTTTGTGATTACCACTCATAGCATCTTTTGCTGATAAAATTACTTTGAAACTCTAATTAATGTCTTCAGTTTGTGTTTTCTTCTTGCAGGCTGCACAGTCAGTGTTGATTTCCCTTTTTGAACTCAACACTCCAGAGTTTACAATGCTATTGGGTGCTTTACCAAAAACATTTCAGGATGGAGCCACAAAGCTTCTCCATAATCATCTCCGGAATACAGGCAACAGTGGTCAGGTACCCACACTTCTGTTATTCTTCTTTCTGAAGTTACTATGTAGAACCCTATCTTAGTAGCTCTCTATGGAATGTCTTTTTTTTTTCCTCTAGAGTTACAGTTTCTGTGTTGTGTTACTTCCAAGTGACTTAATAGGTTTGAATGCGCTTCCTAAAAGTAGTTTCTCATGTACTTTTCTAATTTCAAAGTTACACAGGATTGAAGTTGCTAGTAATGGGTTAGACAATCCAGGAATTTACTTGAAGCTCTTTAAATGTTTCTAGGCATCAGAAAATAAATATAATAATAAATGTAATAAGTTAAAAGGGAAGCCTTTAGTCCCGCTAGAGTATCTTTTCTCACCTCTCCTCCTCCAGGGATCAGTGGGAAGTCCTTTAACAAGACCTACTCCACGCTCCCCAGCAAGCTGGTCAAGTCCTCTCACTTCCCCAACCAATACATCACAGAACACTTTGTCACCAAGGTAATGTAGGCTGGTGGTGTTACAATTCCACATCTAAGGCTTATAACACATTGTCCAAAGATGTAACCCTAGCAATGAAAGCATGGGCAAAATTTTGCACAAAATGACAGATGCTCAGAAATAATCCCCCTTCCTCCATAGAATGACAGTGAACTGCTCAGCCTCACAGAAGGGTCTGATGTGCTGGCCTGAGGTGGGAAAGGGCTGTACTTCTTAGAATGCAAATGGATTAGCAAGAGAACAAACCAAAGTGTGCTTCTTTTAACAAGTAGTAGAATATGTCTTCTCATGTCATGGTTTAACCCCAGCTGACAGCTAAGCATCACACAGCCACTCAATATCCCCGTGGTGGGATATAGGGGACAAACAGGATATAAAAGAGAGAAAAATAAGATAAAGACAATTAATTAGGTAAAGCAAAAGCTGCATATGCAAGCAACAGACAGACAAGGAATTCACTGTTTCTAGTGAGGGGTCACCCCTATGTGAACAGCCCTGTTTCCAGCAAAAATACAAAGCATAGCCCCATACCAGCTACTATGAGGAAAGTTAAGTATTCCAGCCAAAACCAACACACTGAGTCATCAAGCCAAATTTAATATTGGGAAGACAAAAGAAGTGTTAGTTTATTAATGTTTTTTATAGTAATGATGTTGTCAGCAAAGTAGACTTTGTAATTTTGCTTTTACCAGTCAGTTTGCTGTTGAGTTTTATCAGTGCTCCTTACAATAAGACTTTTTTCAGAATAAGAGGATGGCATACAAATTCCAGTTGTTTCATATTCAGAGTAAAACAGAGAAGAAGTTTGTTTCTTCAGGCAGATGCCATTACCTAATGTAGCCTTTCCCTTATTTACTTTGTGTTTTCTCTGTCAGTGTCAGTGGTAGTACACTTACTGAGGCATGACATAATACAATTTTGTCTTGTGAAGAGACAACTTTCCTAATGTATTTCAAGACAAGTAGTAATTTTAGTAATATTTCCCGAGTCTCTGTAGTTGCCTGCTAATGTGATTTAAAAATACAGAATAGATACATTATACAAAATAAATCCATCTTACTTCCTATGTCCTTCTCCATGGCTCACAGTGCATTTGACTATGACACTGAAAACATGAATTCTGAAGATATTTATAGTTCTCTTCGTGGAGTCACTGAAGCCATTCAGAATTTCAGTTTTCGTAGTCAGGAAGATATGAATGACCCTGTAAAACGAGATGCTAAAAGAGAAGATGGTGATTTGGTGAGTATTTAAACTGAGTCCATGTTGGTAGCAGCAACCTAAGCTAGTGTCTGATTGATTACAGATAAGGAAGCATCTGTTTCAGGGGGCTTATATTCTTTTTAAATCGGACATTTCTCCTGAATTACTTAAGAGCTTTAGAAAAATATGTTCCTAGTCTTGAGCTGCATTTTGAAAACGTAAATGCTGATTTTAAGTAGCACTATGTTTGTTTAACATGTCAGCAGTTTAGAAACCAGTGATCTTGCAAATTAATTAATTAATTTATTAAGTTGAAATTAATTTTTTGAGAAGCTTGTATCCTAATATATGTTTTTCTGAATGTTTTATTTTATTTTGTACACAACCTGTGGGTTGTTAAGATGCAGTATTTGAGACTCCTGTTTCTGTGGAACTTTGGCAGTCAGATTTGTTGAATTTGCCACTTACATATGCTCAAATACATTTTTAATTACTTTGCATCAGACTTGTAATATAAAATACAGCTATTTTTGGTTTATGATTTCTTTTGGACAACATACACTTTCCCTTTTATTCTGGGGGTTTTTTTGGGTTTTTTTTTAAGGAAAGCAATATTTAGGGAAGGGAACTAAGACTTCTTATTTGAAGTCTATGAAGTCTTATTTGAAGCATTTTGAAATTTGTAAATTTTTGCTATATTAATGAATTAGTGATGTAGTTAATGGAAAGGTGTAAGAGTGTATTTCACATGCTGATGTGATGTTTCCTCTCCTGCAGATTTGCAGTGCTTCTGGAATAGTGGACATACGAGCAGGAAGTGGTGTGAGTGATACAGGTCGGACAGCTCTGGATAACAAAACGTCATTACTCAACATGATGCCTCCCCACTCCTCACCATGCTCACGAGATTACAACCCATACAATTATTCTGATGGTATCAGTCCATTTAATAAATCTGCTTTGAAAGAAGCCATGTTTGATGATGATGCAGAGCAGTTTCCTGATGGTAAGATTCAGATTACATGCTGTGCTAGAAGAAAAATAGTGAGATTTTCTATCTTGGAGTTCAGTTTCTGAAGTTATTATTAGGAATATATGTATCACTTATTTGAGAGGTTTTTACAAATGCTATATTTTGAATTAGTTTATTTGTTAGTCATCCCTTTGAGTTACATTGTTGGATTACCTGGTATTTGTAGAGACTAAGGGTAAAAATTAAGGAAATGCTGAACTATGTTGTATACTTCTGGTAGCACGTCCTGTATCAGTACTGGTAAGTATAAATTTACTTACCAGATTGTTTTATGATAGAAATTTAAAGCAGAAGGGTGGAGAAAAGATTTACAGCAAGAAAGTAAAACTGAATCAAACCAGTTTGGGAATTAGGTGAAAGATTAAGTATTTTGTTAGTAATATATTTGTATTTGAAACATGGCATTGGCATTTTCTAGTGACTAAACATTCTTTTTAAATGAAACAAAACAAACCAGCTTTTTACCAGAAAGGTGATTCATCTCGCCCATGTAAATCTAGGAACAGGTGCTGCTTTTTAGTAGGCTTCCAGAGCTTCTTTATGCTCTGTATATCTTTGGGTAAATTTTATATCTATATGTTAAGAAGTTCCAAAGTACCACTACTATCAATATTTTAATAAACAGTGATAATCTGGTATTCACTGTTGTTCAGCTATACATTGTTTTTAAGTAAACGCTTTCTTTATAGCAAGGGACAAACTGATGATCTCCCATCTACCTGTTTTGCTTTCATCATTCTGCAACAGATGTGTTACAGAAACTTTTGAAAAACAAAGTTATTTTTGACATGGTGTTTTATTCATCTATTCTATAAGTTGGCTTTAAGTTTGCATTGAATCAAAACAAAATCCAAGTATAGAGCATTTTTCTTTGTTTTTTCTTACATATAATGAAGAAGCATATAGAGTAACCAAATATTTTCTGAAAGAGATGGAGGGAAAAGCACAGTTTTACAGATCATGTCAAATACATATTAATAATTAAATAGTTTTGCCATCCACATACCGAGCCAGGTTATGCTTGAGATTGTGTATTAAGGGGTCTTGTTTTACATTGGAGAAGTCTCCTTCTACCTTCTGACAACTTATTTTTGGGCATTAAACCAGATGCAGTCTGTGCTGTGCCAGCATGATTGAGTTTTATAACAGCTCATGACTGGCTGGAGTGAAGCATTCCTATCCAGTATTAGTTTGTCCTAGTTGGAAGAGTGGAATATTGCATTATTTAGGTCTGCTCTTTAAGGGATCTTGATGAAGTACTTGCTTTCATTCCTGTGTTGTTTACCCTCAGTATTTAGAGTTATATCATGTACATTTTGTCATTTGTGTGTTACTTTCAGAATTTTATCTGAGATTATTTACAAAATGTCTGCAAGAGAAAAGATAATAGACTTGGCAAAATACCTTGTGCCTACAACTCCTCTGTTGCGAGTTACACACTTTCCCCATGAACGTGAAGGACTCGTTTGACATTAGATATCTTGCTTTGTTTGCTTTTTTGGCCATCGTGTTTGCGTAGCTTTTATATTAAAATGCTGTGAGTGGCAGTAGGAAAATATTTCCTAAATTCAGGACATATCTACATGTTCCCTTTTAACCCTCTAAACTGTTTATGCTGTCAAAAGGATGTGATTTGATTGGTTTGAGAAGAGCTGTTCTTCATCAGTTATTTATCTCTATAATGCATATTTTAATTCATTCAAATGAAGGACTTGCATCTGCTCATCTTCATTTGTGTTTTGTTTGTTTTCTGAAAAAGAAATTTTGGGAGTAGCTTTGAACATGACTTCTATGCTTTTCTATTCTTACCTGGAGAATGTTTGGAAATTAAATACATGGTGCTAAATCATACGAAGGAAAGGAAAAGGCAAGCTGTAAAGGCACATTCCTCTTGGTTATCTTCATGTTTTTCAGTTATGTAGTCCATTACTGGAACTTCTTTCCTCCCCGTATTCCTGCATGGACATGGCTATTACTTTCCCATCTCTTCAACCCGTAACTCTGTACGTTTAAGATGACACCACAATGAAAATACCTTAAACAGATAAATTTAAATGAGTAGTTTTGCTTATGGAGTGTCAATATGCATTCCCAAATAGGATTTGCTATAGCTATAATCCAAATAGGATTTGCTGTAGCTATATATAAGTTTGGCAGAACAAGTGTAATAGTGCTGCCAGTAAAAGTAATGATCTTGCTTCCATAAAAAAATTGATGACGATCAACAAAGAGACGGGACCCCCACTTGCATAACGAAGAGATGAGACTCCCATTTGATGCAAGCATGAAGCTGATTTATTGATTTAACATACCTTTTCATCTATAGCTAAAAATAGCACAATCACTCCATTGGTGTTTCTAAGTAACATTACTTAATCAGAACTCTGCATAGACTCTCTGCACAGACCTGTACAGACCAGCATAGGCACGCACGATCTTGCATGATTTATCTAAAACAAAGCACACCAAGCATACCTTCTGCTTCCCTATTCAGGGTTCCTCCTCATCTTGCTAGGGCTTGTGGCCTACCAAACCTAGTACATCCACTTCAGCCATGAGTTAAGCAGTGCTCTGAGTCGTGCTCTCCAGCTGTATTGCTACAAATGGTTGTCCATTCTGCTCATCTGCTTTAAATAATAATTCACCTAATGCAATTTCAGTCTGCCCTTTAGTCAAACATTATTCATCCATTAATAGAGTGGCAGCAGAAACGTTTGTAGTTGGCTTTCAGGTGCTGGTGCTCCTGTTTATTCATGCAAAACAATGCAAATAGCAATGTGAGGTTCAAAAGCAGCATGATTTTTACAGTAGCTGATGTGTGGTAGTAAGATATTTAATTCTGTGGTATTCAGCTTTTATTGTTTTCTTTATACAAGTGCTTTCTACAGCATTCGTAAGTTACAGTACTGTATAAAGTAATACAAGATGTTCAGGGGCTGTGGTTTCTCAGTGTATAATATAATTACTTTGTTATGGAGGATGTATTTCATGTGTTAGTTAGTACATGCAGTCATTTCATGAAAGGTGCAATGCGTTTGCATTGTATGCCGGAACTTCCAAATTTTTGCCTTAGGAAACGGCATGTTTCTGTTAATATATCCAAAAGTTTCCATGCAAAGATAGAAGCTCTATACTTTCCTTTCTTAAAGGCTAAATGGGTCTTGATGATGGACTAAAGATACTAAGTTGATACTCAAGTTTTTATTAAGACCATTTTAAAGTTTCTTGACTGTTTGCTGATTACTCTGTTTGCAGTCCAGTGTTTACAAATGTAAGTTGTTACTAATGGGTTTTTCCATTATCATAGAATCTTCTCTAATCAAAAGTAAAATCCAGAGCCATGTCTTAATTAATTGTTTTTGGGATCTATGGGACTAATAGCCCTAGTTTGCCTTTATTCCAGCTCTTTTGTACCAAGAACCATTGTTTTACTTTTTTTTTTTCTTCCTGTTTGTTTTAGCAACCTAGCTATTGTTGTGGAATTATAGCTTACAAAAGTCTAAATAATTCCGTAATACTAACAGAGAAAATAAAATTTTTCATCTTGAATAGAAGAGTCATATGGGAAAGATAGCCCTTCGTGAAAAGGATTCAGAGTGCTTAGTAGGTACTGCAAGCCTAAAAACTCCTGCAGTAGACTAGCCTGCAAGGAGGTTTTTGCACACTCATTGTAGGGATTTGGGAGGGGATTGTAAGCTTGTTCAGCAGTGTTGGTTGCGCTGAAAATGTAATAGCCAAACTGCAATTCCCTGAATAGGGAAGCAGAAGGTATGCTTGGTGTGCTTTGTTTTAGATAAATCATGCAGGCAAATGTGAGGGAAAAAACAAAAGCATGCTCAAAAGAGAGCCAGTCACACTAGAAGATATCCTTTAGTTGTACAACAGGCACCAATATTTATTTGCAATAATTCTGTTTGTGTATTATATTTTGACAGAGCCTCCCATGGACCATTCTGATCTGGTGGCAGAGCTACTGAAAGAGTTATCAAACCATAATGAGAGAGTTGAAGAAAGAAAGGCTGCCCTGTATGAACTCATGAAGTTAACTCAGGAAGAGTCTTTTGGTGTTTGGGATGAGCACTTCAAAACAATACTCCTTCTGCTGCTTGAAACGCTTGGAGATAAAGAGGTAAATTCAGAAACATCCAGTTAAGAATGTTAACAAAGAACATAGCTTACTTTCAGTACCTTTGGCATTTGTATTAGTTGTAGAAAGGGCACAAATCCCAGTTACTGGTGAAAAAAACAAAAAAAATGGAAATAAAAAATGCCATGAAGTCCTATTGCTCTGATGGTGAAAAGGGCATCAGCGATACTTCTCCAGGATTCCTATTTGTTGATTCTGATATGGTAGATTGAATGAAACATTTTTGCACCGAGATTCAAAGCTTGTCTCTTTATAGCCACTGAATGAGTCTAGAATATCAAAACATCATGTGTGGTAAAGCATTCAGAAATTTCTCTCTCAAATACAGGAATGGCCATTGTGAAGAGACTGCGTTCTATGCAATAGTTCTCTACAAAGGCTATGTTTCTGAAATTCCTGAGGATCAAAAAGACACCAGTACTTGTGTTTGATTTTTTTAAATAATTGTAAAAAGAAAAAGTAAAAAACGTATTTGCCTGATGGTTTGATCAGCCCTTGTGTTTGCAACTTAACTTCTGGTTAGCATAGATAAGTGAAATTAGTTTAGCAGTGTGTTAAGGATATGTCACCTGCATTTTCTACAAAAAGAGAGATTGAAGAGATTTTTTTCCTACTTTTATTTCTTAACACTAGATTCAGATTGTGTATGTGTGCAAAGTATAATCTGATGTTTTTTCTGTTTTTTCCATTATTAAAGACTTTTCCAGCAGCTGAACAAATATTAAAAGTGCGTATGTCTATTTAAAGGTGCATAACTCATTTATTTTAATATTGAATCTTTAGCATGCAATTAGAGCTTTGGCACTGAAAGTTCTAAGAGAAATTCTAAGAAACCAGCCAGCAAGGTTTAAGAATTATGCAGAGCTCACAGTCATGAAGACACTAGAAGCACATAAGGATCCTCATAAGGAGGTCAGTAATAAGTAATTTTATAAATAAGTTATATATAAGTTATGACAAATTATTACAAATAGAAAGAGCTGTCAGGAAAATGAGAAATAATCAGTTCTTACTGAGGAAGTAATTTTTTTAATAACAAGCATATTATTATGTGTTTAATAACAGTGGTATTATTAGTTAACATGGGTATGCAAGAAAGAAACCCATGCAGTTCAAAAAGCTCTTGAATGGTTAATAACATCCCCAATAACAATTGCCTTGGGTGTCATTCCACAGGACAGTATAACCAGCAGTGTTTCACCATGGCTCCTCAAGGAATAACTGAAAGATGCTTTTCCCTTATTTGACATCTTAAGCTGAATATAGGTGTACTAGAGATCTAAACAAGCTTTTGGATTTCAGTGAGATTTATGGTTGAGAGATGAGACTAAACAAGACAAGGAATTGTCAACCTTTTCCATTCTGCTCTGTTTGATAGCATGGCTTTGAAGGTGTTAAGGGAAAATGCATGGGAATATGTCAGTGGCAGAGGTGTGCTAGTTCCAGGAATAGTGAGGGGATTCAGGAGGAACGTAAATGTAACCTTGCTCAGAGTTATTTGTGATGCCTGCATACACAATAAAGGACAGTGCATGTAAATATAGGAAGCACAGATACAGTAACCAACCCAGTATTCAATTTCTGACATTAGTGTCATTGATGCTGTGGAAATGTTTGTTACTAAATGAGTACATACTCCCCATGCAAGGGCACTTTGTGGAGTATGCTGTGGAGTTTCAGGCTTTGAAGCTGACTGTGATTCCTCCCATCCCATGACTTTATCACTCATTTGATACTCATTTCTCTTTCCCTGTGCTGTCTGGATTTGTTTCATACACTGTATTTCTTACAGTGTCATTTCCTCATCATTCCTTCTCTGTTCCTGTGCCTTTTTCCCTCTCTTAATTTTGTGTATTAGGAGTGAGAGAGTAAAGGATGGAGGTTTTTGTACATCACTATGTACAGCCAGTCATTTTGTACAGTAGTTTCCCTTGTTAGATGGCAGATGCCAGCACAGCACTAATGTGAAGATCAGATGTTAATTTTCTCTCTAGTGCCCTTGTTGTGTTTTGAGCTTGTATACCTGTTGAAGTCCTACCTAACTGTTCTTGTTCTGCTTGTTCTGCATATTCTTCAGGCTTAAAGTACTCTCTTGTCAAAGTTTATTTCAAAATTATAGAGGAAGAAAAACAGCGAGATTGGCTTCTACAATTAGCAATCTAGATATGTCATTAAACATACCTTTGAAATAAAGATGAAAACATGTTATATCAGTGATCACTGACTTAACAAGCAATAACAAATGACAACACAAGAAATTACAGATTTACAAAGGTGGTGATTAAATACGTAGTTGGAGGGTATGCAGAATACAGAAATTTCAGATCCTATTAAACGAGCAAGTTTGAAAAACTGATGTGTATTACCAAGGGCATAGTAGCTTCAGAATATCGGGAAGAATTGTGTTTTTAAGAAATAATGTCCAACAGCTGGACTCTTGACATATTTCTGTAATATCGCAGAGGTCTTGATAGGAAATTTTTACGCTCAAGACCAGTGCTGCCAGAACACAGACCACAGAGTAAGAGTCTCATATAAATCACTTTTCTGTGTCTTTTTCTTTCAATAGGTGGTGAGATCTGCTGAAGAAGCTGCTTCCATGCTGGCCACTTCAATTAGCCCAGATCAGTGCATCAAAGTTCTCTGTCCAATTATCCAAACTGCAGATTACCCCATTAATCTGGCTGCAATCAAAATGCAGACAAAAGTTATAGAAAGAGTATCTAAAGAAACCCTTACTCAGCTTTTACCAGAGATTGTGCCAGGTCTAATACAGGTAAGGAGAGAAGAAAGAAGAAAATAGAGGGGGAAAAGACGAAACAGAGTAATAAAAAGAAACTTATAAACGTATAAATACGAATTGCAAAGACTTTTTAAAAATAGTACCACCTGGTTCTTTTGAAGTATTTCACTTGTCTGATAGTTGATGGCTGCTTTGACCCAGAAATACCTTCAACAGTGGGAACGATATCTTTGCTTAGCAGGGAGCTAAATTATAACCATTATTAGGACTCAGGGAATCTCAGTAGGATATAAAGTCCTGGTTATAGGTAAGCTTGGTAGATACTTTTAGTTCTAAGATAGCTCTTTGTTGTTTGTACGTTTTTTCCTAGTTACATAATTCAGTGTGAAATTGGCTATGCTTTATTTGTGTATAACTGTAGAGTTTTATCAGCTGAGGCTTTTGGGAGGCAAGACGAAACAAGCAGTTTTATAAAGTTGAATAAAATTAGAAGGATATCCGAGTTTTCTCTTTGTCTTTAAAACTGAATTTTTTTACCAACTTTTTAAAGGTTATATTAATAGCCAAAATACATTAATTTCCTTAATTGATCAAGACTTTCTGGAGTTGGAAGCTGCATTGTGCAGATTTCTGTCTTTAATGACTGTGATCCACTCCTACATCTGCAGGAAAATAGAGGCAGAGAAGGGCTTCTGAGAAGGGAGTCTGAGTGAGGCAGCCAGGCATGGAGTGATAGAAAAATGGCAAAAGAAGCAAAAATCATTGAAGAATGGGGTGGGGGTTAGAAAAGACTCTTTAGCTATTAAGTGAGTTCATTCAGAGAGTCAGGAAGTTCTAAATTGTGAATGGTCTTTTGCTTTAAGTAAACACCTGTATAATCTAAAAGAGTTCTCTTAAGTGCTCACCTATTGCATGACAGCAGCTCTATTTTCAGTGTAACTTATGAACAGGACTGTGTGGGTTTTTAATTCAACTTGGAAAATGACTATCAATGGTGACTAATAGGCAGCCTGCTTTTTAACTGCATGCTCTGTATTTGTTTCTGGTTTTTTGTTGGAATGCTTCATTGGGCTACACTGGCATTAACTTACCATAGACTTCAATATATTTATTATAGTACATAAGTAAATAGCTTTTCTTTTAATCATTAACTGATAAGGTATTCATGTAACATTTTATTGCTTTCTAGGGTTATGATAATTCAGAGAGCAGCGTTCGTAAAGCATGTGTTTTCTGCCTTGTTGCCATTCATGCAGTAATTGGTGATGAACTAAAACCACATCTCAGTCAACTCACTGGCAGTAAAGTAAGTAGAAGATACCGTTTAAAGAAATCTTGGGTCATAATTGCATCTATGAATTTACATTTTGGTTGCCATTGCCAGAAAGTTTCAAAGAAGTATACACTTGAAAAGAGAATATCCGTTGTATTAATATGACTTCACGGTAAAACATTCAAAACGGAGAGTCCACAGATCTTTATTTATGCAAGTGTACAAACTTTTGCATAATTACTAAACTATGTTTCTTACTGCTTTTTTAATGCATTCAGTTCCTTGTGTACTGTTAGTAGTGATAATGGCTGCATTCAGCAAGCTTTTCCTATCAGTGTTTTTTGTCTTTGTTTTCATACAAGTTCTGATTGAAAAACAATAACATGATATGTCCATGTTGCACAGAGCAGTTTCATTTATTCTTCCTCCTTGTTATTTTGCTTTCACCAGTCTTTTCAGTACCTCTAATGTGAAATAATAAGAACCAGGCTTTTTGTTTCAGGATATTTATGACTTCGTTGACATCTTTTTCAAGCAGTTTTTTGCATATAAACAGCTATATGTTAGTTGTGAATCTCTTTGTCCTTGGGGATTAAACAGGACAATTAATCTTGTCAGTCTGTGATAGAAGACAGTTCTATCTTTAAAGTAGTCTCTGGTATTGATTGTATTTAAAGTGACTCTAGATGATATTAGAAGCTTAGTAAATACCAGCATCAGCAACTCTGACTAGAGACTTAAACTTCAGCATTAACTTAAAAGAAAAAAAAAAAACAAACCACTACCATATTTAGAAAAGCATTATAATTGGAGGAAAGTACTCCGTCTATCTTAATCTAGCTACCTTATTTCATACTCTTCTTTACATCCTTAGAGAAGCTTGAGCAGTTTCCTTGTGACAGATTTTATTTGTGTTTGATGTTTTCCATTGGCATCTTATGTTCCTCTTGAATCAACTGTGTAAAGTGCAATTTTGCTTTTAGGGAAAAGAAAAAGATTAATGTCTGTTTTGTTGTACAATTACTGTAATCAGTCTGTACAGTTTGCAATACTAAACAGAGTTAATTTCTGGCTTAAATTTGCAGATGAAATTATTGAACCTTTACATCAAACGTGCACAAACAGGCTCTGGAGCAGGGGATACAGCAGCAGATATGTCTGGACAAAGCTAATGAAACTGACAAGAGTTAACCAGGTCTCCTAAAGCAGGGGCCCTCTTCAGTGAAAGGAAAATCCTTACATGCAACTTCTGGAACTTTTTTCTTTTTTTGTTTTGGTTTTTTTACTCCCTTTCTTTTGTTATTTTTCTTTTGTTCGGGGTTTTGTTGTTTTTTTTTCTTTAACCAACAGCTGTCCTCAGCCTGCATGAGACTGTTGAAATAGAATTATTCCAAATCTAAGGAAAAACAGTATTAACATGAATTGATCAAAGCAGAATAAAATTTCAAAATAATCTTATCCATCTGTTATCCTGTTCATAATCCTCTGTCTTCCCATTAACTTTTGCCAGTGTTACTGTATTAAAAAAAAGAGATTTTTTTTAATGCTAATTAAAAAGATATGCTTTAAGCTTCAGAAGTTAAAATATAAATTCAGTTGCTTTTCTTCAGCTGCAGATAATTCTACCTTTTTATTGCTGTTTTGTTAGAGTATTATGTCCTTTGCTAGAAACAAAAAGTGATGTGAAACAAAGCTGAACTAGTCTGAACTGCAGTGAGACTCGTTCACTGTGTTGGTGGTTCATCATCTTAGAGCTTGTTTGGGATATTCTGGAGATTGAGAAATAAATAAAAAAGAATAAGAATAAAAAGAAAGCTGGATTGATCCAGTTCTGTCACAGTGATATTGTTCATTGGTTGTATGTTTGTTGCATAAATAAGAATTTAGTGTGCACAGCAGAGGACTGGTACAACCAGTGCCTCTTAATGTGGAAGACAGCCCTGCCAGGGCAGCACTGCCAACCTGATGATAGTGTGGCAGCCTGCTGGTGAGCAGCAGAGTTCATGGTCACTTGATGGACATGAACCATCCTTGTCACCTTTCATTCTTCAAGCAGGATGCTTCAGAATAGAGTGCTCTTCCCAAGCATGCTCAGTATGTGTTTATCACTAGAATGTTTCCTCTCAGGCTAATTGCTGGAACAAGTAGTCTTGTATTGTAACTCACACGGGATCTTATGACAACAGTGCAGAAAACTGTTTATTCCTTACCTTCCGAAAAGCACCGGGATTTTCTGCATTGAATTTAAATGGGGGGGAGGGGGGAATAGTCACAAATGCTATGGATCTTGCCACTTTTTAATTTAAAGAAAAACATATATTTTGGATGCGTAGGAAAAGCTGCACCAAATTATTTGCATGATTTTCTTGACTTGCATCCTCAAGACCCATCTGGATTAAGGTGTGGAAATGTTTCAAGGGTTTGTTTTTCCATTTTTGAAAAAGAGTTAGTATATTGTGAATAATAGTTCTTTGTATTTATGAAGTTGATAATGGAAAGAGAACAAAGATAAGTAAATGTGTCCCTAAATGGGTTTTTTTGCTGTTGTTGTTGGTTTTTTGTTTTGGGGGGGGGGGGGTTGCTTGTTTGGGTTTTTTTTAATATAAGCAGCAAGCTAATTAAGTGAGAAATGGGATGAAATGGTGCCCTTCCCAGGAACAATGGAACTTTGTTTTCCTGACTTTTTATTCCCTTTGACTGTGATGTTGTCTAGTTGTAGGAAGTGTATCCTGATAAGAGAGAAAATAGTGGTGCCAAGGATGATGATCTATGCTAGGCTAAAATTCTCTCTACCTCTTCAGGGTGACTAATTTTTGACTGAGCTGCTGCATATGGCATCCAGTAGAAGAACTATCTACAGAAAAATCTTTATTTTTTTTCCAAATTATCACTTAATGTGTATTCAAAACTCTATTCTTCAACATTGCAGCCAAATATCATAAGAAACCACTTACACGCTTTACCTGCTAGGAACCCTGGAAAACAAAACTGAATGAAAAATTAAGTCAGATGCTTGTAGTTAAAAGGAAAGATTGTTTTTACTTTAGTTTGAAGTGAATGCGATAGAAAGATCTAAGATGTGGTTATTGAAGAAGCGATGCCATTGCAGAGATTTATTTGGAGGAAAAGTTGTAGGAATATATGTAAAGACTTAAACCCAAGACTGTCATAACTCGTTGCTAGCCCTTTTTAGCAGCTACATGAAGAAAATAGTATTTCTTCCTCCTTTCCTTTGTTATGTGTAACATCCTTGTTGTTTTCTACTGTTTAATTACAGTGTGTATTTATAGTTCTATGCTTACCATTGTTCATATACTGGCAATAAAATGTACATAACATTACTTAAAAGATTAGCAATTTATACATTCTGGTTTTCTGTTTTATTTGATCACATGCTCTAAGAAAAATTATAAATGTGATTCATACAGCATTGGTTAAAAAAATTATCTTAATCTTCATGTTTTGTGTGTCCAAATGATGTTTCTTTATATAGACTTGTTGCTAAATCTGACTTGGCATTTGAGAATATTCTGTGAATAAAGGTATATTAGACAAATTTTTAGAAATTGAATAGAATATTTATAAGCACATCCTTCATCTTCAAAGAAAGCTTTTCTTCATCTAGGCAGATACTTTGTTTATTATTTCATTTTTTCTACATTATAAATCATTTACATTTTATTTTTTTAATACTGAAATATATTTCTCAGTTTACAGCCTTGTAGTTTTTACATTTTAATTATACAAAAGGTCACTTCAGAAAATTGCACAAATTCTAACCTTAATTGCCCTGTTTGTTATTCCTGCATTTTGTATATTCAATATTTATTTTCAGAGAATCATTGCAAAGTGACTGTTACTTGTCATCTTTTTGAAGATGCTGAAAATATAAGTTATTGAAACATACAGTATATATTCTGGATGAAACCTAATTTTTTACATGTAAAGAAAAGATAAGGTTTTTTATCCCCTATATGACTGAAAAATTTTGCTTCAGGTAGGGGGGAGGAAGATATTTATCCAAAGTTTGTACATCAGTTTTGCTTTTAAGCCATCTTTAAATGTTTTACGCTAAGATATCCCATGTATTAAAAATCTCAATGCAATATATTTAGATGAGTATTTTACTTATGATATGACTATTTCTGTTTCTAGCAGAGATGGGGTTGCTATCTTTGTAAACAGATAGAATCTATTTATATTACATGAAGCCATCAGAAGGTAAGAATTTGGAAAGAAAATTATTTCCACAGCAGCCAGTTTATCAAATTCACTGCATTGCTTTTTGCCTTCATTTCCTATATTATAAGTAGATATTAGCTCAGTTAAATTCAAGCAATTGAAGCATTTGAAAACTCAGGCAAATTCAAGTCATGCCTTATGTTCCTGCTGGAAGTGATTTCTCTTAATGGATTAGCATAACAATATGGGAAAAATATGACAGTTGTAAGTTGCTGTTCTTTCAGACAGGGTTTCTATATGTTCCTTCTAATATCCTGTGAAGATAGGTCATTGCAATCATTTGACTACTGAAATGTAATTCTTAAAGGTTGGATTTGGGCTATAAAAAAGAGAAAGGAGAAGAAAAGCTACATGCAGAATCAGGATGGGAAATGGATATCATTAATGTCTCAGACTTGGATGTCATTTGATTTAAATAATTTTGAGTAACACAATAATGTTCAGATGAAGTCTTAGCAAGGAGGTTGGGATAATGTAAACTGAAAGGAGAGCTGATCATGTAAATTTTCTTGAGTTGGCTTGCTTGGTTGCTTTGCTTTTTTTTGAGTTGTGTTTATTATTTGTAGACTGAGTCACTTAGCAAAAAGAACAAACATCTGGATCCTGATACACTTACATATTCTTAATGAGTTTATATGGTGTGTTTTAACGTTTAAGTCATTAACATACCCATGAAAAAAATTCTATTGAGAATACAGGCCTAAACTCACATTTTGAATTTTCAGGAAAGAAATTCAAATGCTGAATGTAATATTGTCCCTTTGAATGCAATCATAAAAGAGAAAATAATTTTGAGAAATAAATCTCTTGAATTACACTACAGTTAGTCACTATGGGAGGTGAGTGAGAATGGTTCCACTGGCTGTGGTGACTTGCACTGTGTTAGGTTGGAACTTTGCAAACAGAGAGAACACAATAAACATAAATAAGATGGGGATGCATAAGCAGTTTGGAGCTGGAGGACTATCTGGAGAAAAAAATCTGTTGATTTCTCCCAATTAAAACAGTAAACTGATGAGTTTTGCAATTGTAGTCTACTTCCAGGTAAAAGTCAGTATTCATATTGAGCTCACTTAAGAAAACATCTTAAAATTCTCCCCGATGTGAGTTTTCCAGCTCATTAAAAGTACATATTTCAAAGATTGGCTTCATAATTTATATATGTTTTCTTCTTTTTTGTTAAAACACAGAAGATTTGCAGAAATGTGGGAAGTTTGAAGAGCTAATTGTGCTGGTCTGGCAAAGAATCAAACTTCACTTATTGTTTTTCTGTATTTTGTTCATGTTTCTATGTTTTCGAGCTCCGTTTCCAAGCTGTGCAGCTTGGATTATCCCAGTTAAAGACGTTTCTTCATTTGCTGATGGGATTTTAGAATAATAAGTGTATTTACTAAGAAGTTTACAAGCAGTTTTGAATACTCTATGATTTCTGTTAATATAAAAATTCTGTAGCTTTTGATGTATTTTAGATAGATAAAAGTCATCCTAGTGGAAATACTTTGAGGGAGTAAGATTGGAAAAAATTGTTGATATTGAAACATGGAAAATATTCCTTCAGTGGAAAAAGGAACATATGTGCATGTAAATGTTTGATATCCACTTATATTGGTATCAGATAGGAGGTAAAAAAGTAATTGAACTTGATACTGGGCATCACAGTTTTACAAGTTTTCTTTTTCAGTATTCTTTCTTTCCTAGATCATGCTATTGTCCACCAGTGCTCATCTTTAGATCTCTGAAGTCATTACAACCAGTACTGGAGATGGTTCTGCTAAACTTTGTCAGGATAAATTCAAAAGCAGTGTCTGTCCTAGGAACATCTGTAGCAGATAAAAACAAGTATGTAGATTGAAGTTACGCAGTAGACAGATATTCTTAAAAGTCAGCTGGACTGCTTTAGGTATTCCCTCACCATCTATTCATCTCTGCCTGTGGTAGAGCCAACAGAGTACCTTTGTGGGAGCTTCCCTAATCTGTTTTCTGGTCTCATTTATCTGGAATAATCTCAGATTGGTCCTTCAGCAACACCAAGGGCTCACAAACCTATGCCAGAGAATGAATGAATGTCTGTCCTGGGCTGAGAGGGTCTGCCTGTATGGGGGGGGCGGGCAGTGGTGGGGGAGGAAATATAGGAAAACCTACCTGTTTCTTAGCACAGTGTGTTAAGCCTGAGCACATATAGCTCATGTCAAAATACCAGGGAAGATGAGGAAACTTGATTTCAGCTTGGATAAACAGCTCAAGTGCAAGCCTGTAGGGGAATGGATGTGTGTTCCATTTAAAATTGCAGATCACCATGTTTTAAAACGCTTAATTAATTTATATGCTTGTCTGAAATAATATATTTTAAATGTATCTAACAGTGTGCAACTACAAAAAGCCTCTAATCTGAAAAAATAGTTATTTCTGGCTTGTTACTTTGTGTCCTTTCAGCACGATTTAAACTGATGCAGATAGAACATTTTTACACTATAGTAAATAGAGATGGTTGTATCTTACCTAAAGAATTTCTAAGCTGTTTAATGCAGTTTTTGATCTTTGAGGTGACAGGTACGGCCACGCTGGCCAACTAATCAATTGAAATACTTTTCCAAGATAAAA